TACCAGTCAAGAAGGAAATGTTCTGCCTGGAAAGTCACTGAGTTCTTTTCATTGGAGGATGACAAGCAAAGGAGGGAATCACAGGGGGCCATGGAAGAGATTCTAGCTCTGGATGGGGGCTGGCCTCTGGGATCTGGGTTCCATCTAATTCTGAGATTCTAGCAATACAGCAGCCCAAAGAGGAATGGGGCTGCACTGGCTGAGTCCAACATACCTGCTGGGCCTCACTGACCTGCAGAACAGTCATAGCTACTTCTCACAACCACTCACTTGCAGGGAGGAGAGCCCTGCTCAGGGCCTCAGAGCTGTTATCCTCATCTCACAAGGCCGAAGGATAATCACACCAATACCCATGATAAGGGCCCCCTGGCAAACTAGGATGTCTGATGTCTTCAGTTTGATGGAAATTTTGTCAGCTCGTTATAGACACTCAGTATCATGCTGATCTAAAGATCCAACTGGCAAGTACAGATGTCTGTGCTTAAAAAAATGGGGAAAGTTATGACTCAATAAATAGTTTGTCTGGAAGATAAAACTAGAGCCTGAGATAATAAAAATGTCATGCTGTGAAAAGTTTGGGGTGGCTGCTTCCATCCCAGAACACACAGTCAGCTTCTTGAGTTGACCTCCAGGCCATACTGAACTGAATCTGGCAGGCCCACCAGCTGGCTGCCCAACATGTCAACTTCACCCTGGCAAATGAGAGAAGCCCCATATAGGCCCTGGTCCCTGAGCTGCTGCTTTCCACATGGCTTAGTATACAGTATATACTTAAATACTTACTAAATAAAATGAATGAATGAATGGATGAACCTGTGGCTGAGAAGTCATAATGGAAAATGTGGAACTTCAGAATTTCATACTTTTATTGAAACTTACAATTTCACTGGACTTTTGGCCCCAAATGAAAAAACTGCCAAAAAAAAAAAAAAAAAAAGCACTGGCAGTGGGAGGTAACAACTGTCCCCTGGGGACTGAAGCCGAGCAGAGCATGGCAGGCAAGTGAGGGATCCAAGCTTCAGAGGGCAGTAGCCTGGCCAAAGAGACTCAGAGAGCCAGCTGCCTGAGCCCCCTGAGCAGGGACAGCCCCCAGGCAGCTAGAAGTTAACACACAGGAACTTGTGGGTGAGATGGAATCCAAGTCACTGGTCCCACGGGCAAAGCTCTCTCATGCTTGGTCAGATTCTACTTTGGAGAAACTGGGCTCATCTGACAGGACAGCCTGGGGGAGGGAACCCAAGTGCTAATGGTAAGAGGCCTAAGAACACTTACCACTGATGGCAGGGTGTAGAAGGGAAAGCTAGAGGCCAGAGCCCAGCTGCCCAGACACTAACTCTATTGCAATGACTGGCATCTCCTGCTCCTGGTGCAAGGCCATGCCATTCAACTGCTCAGAGCTGTCAGGATATTCAACTTACAGTCCTCTCCTAGATCAGGCCCCTCCCTGTGTGGCCTCAACCCAGTCCCCACTACTGAGTGGCTGTGACGCATGACTTTCAACCCTCTTTGGAAATAGTGCTGCATCAAGCAAGAGAGAATCTTTTTCTAAGAGGGGCAGAAAAGGAAGAGAGGCCCACATGCTTCTCCCATTTCAAGGAGCCAGGAAAGGTCCCTGGTGCATTCCACTTTGACAGATGGGCTGGGTCACAGCATCCGAGAAGCTGTCATGGTGACAAAGTCCTCGAAGCTGAGCCGAATGTTGCCCTGTAGAGCTGTGTCCTTCTCCCGGAAGGCCTCGGTCAGTACCTGCAGCTGGGTGCACACCTGGATGAAGCGGTCGAGCTGCATGGCAGGATTGGCAGAGCGCGGGCAGTAGCGGGAGACCAGGAGCTGGGTGAACTGGGGGCTCAGGTTGTAGCCCATTTGGGACAGAGCTGGAGAGGAGGGGTGCACAGAGGAGACACACAAAAACCTGCTGTCAACACCTCCACTGACCAGCAACACTGAAGCACAGCAATTCAGGGGACTGAAGGTGGGGATCAGCACAGAAGCATACAAAGGTCAGAGAAGTCCCAAGGGTCTGTCCAAGATGTCAGGAGCAAAACAAGGGCTCTGTCTGGAAGCTCCACTTAGCTGGAAGGCCCCATCCCTCTTTCTCCAAATCTCCATTAATGTCTGTTCAATCAGTGCTCAGGGGATCCCAGAGATGATGATGATCTATGCATGATCATCTCTTTTTTTTTTTTCTTTTTTCCTTTTTGTCTCTTTTTTTCAGTGCTCAGGGGATCCCAGAGATGATGATGATCTATGCATGATCATCTCTTTTTTTTTTTCTTTTTTCCTTTTTGTCTCTTTTTTTGGGACCGGCAACGGGATTGCAACCCTCGGTGTTGCCCCCGCACCTCGCTCAGCCAGTGAGCGGCCGGTCTGTATGTGGGATCCGAACCCTCGGCGGGAGCGCCGCTGCGCTTCCCAAGCGGCGCACTGTAGCAGTGCGCCACTGGGCCGGCCCTTTTTTTTTTTTATGCATGATCATCTCTAACCCATCTGCATTATGAAAGGAAGCCTGAGCCCCCTAGGACCACCTTGCCTAGGGCAGACGTCACAGGCAGTACAGCACAGAAGTTGTGAGGGCTTGCTCTGGAGTGAGACAGTCCTTGGGCAAGTTGCTTAGCCTCACAATCCCTCTGTCTTTTCATCTCTAAAATGAGGATAATGCCAATGCCTGGCACATAAAAAGCACTCAATAAGTGTTACTTTAATAAAGTCATTATCACCTCCCCAGAGGAGGCTGCTGGACAGTTCCAAGGTCATGGCCTACATGCTGTTCCCCGTCCCTCCAATGGGATGCTTCCTTCTTCTCTGAATAACTTACCACCCCAGGCTAAAATCTCAGTTCTCCATTTGCTATGGGGGCCCTTGGGCAAGTTACCTATACTAAGCCTCTCATCTAAGTCACTAAGTTTTCTCATCTATAAAAGGGAGATCATAAGAGATCCTTCATCAAAGGATGTGGGATAATAAACAGTACCCAGCACACGGGAAGAATGAATTCTGTAAATCTATTAAAAATGCTTATTACAGTGCCTGGCCCATCACAAGCATTCAGTAAATATTAGTTTTGTTGCTGTATCACCCTTACCAATATCCAAGACTGAAGCTGGCAAAAAGAGTAGGTGATCAGTGCAGGTCATCTCCTTTCCCTTCTACAAGGGGGCAGATATGGTATGCTCATCCCGTCCCACAGACGTCCTTACTCGGACTGAAATGCACAGCCAGGGCAAGGGACTGGACTCTCCATGGAGCCCTTTCTCCCTCCAGGTGGTAGTGGCAAAGCTCCCTGTCAGGGTCTCACAATGCCATTAGCCACCCATCCTCTCACCAACTAGCCTGAGCCCAGCCTACAGGCTCCAGCCATACAGCATCATATTGGAAACAGACCTGGAGCTATGGCCTCAGGTCATCTTTCCCTGCAACTGCAACTTTTAGAGTGCTCTGAGTCCCAGAGCTGGGAAGGAAACTGCCTTCTAGCAGAGGTGGCAAGAGAATCCTATGCAGGGCTCTTTCCATTCTACATGCTAGAAACTGGAGAGGAAAGAGGTACACAAGCCACATGCACTGGTCTCAAAGTGCCTTGGGGTGCCAGGTTTCCATCCCTAAGGCTCCCTGCCAGCTGAGGCTGTCTTACCCAGCACTGCTGGGGGTCTTATCACCAGGGGTCCAGCCCTGATTCTGAACCCAGATGTTTCCCTACCCTCGATCTTGGCTCAGTGCCCCAGCCAGGTCACAGCAGAGGTGTGGGGAGTAGGCCTGCACTGAGGACAGCATTTTGTCATGCAGGTGGCCATTTGGTAGTGAGAGGAAAACCCTTGTTCTGTCTTAGGGAGTAAAGAGAAGAGTCTAGCTCTGCCCTGCCCCCTGTGCCCTTGCTGTGGCCCTCACCTTGCTGCAGCTCCGTGTAGCTGATAGAGCCCGAGTGGTCCCGGTCGTACTGCTGGAAGAGATTCTTCCACTGCTGGATGAATTTCCATAAGGCTGAGAAACCATAGACATCAATGCGGCCTGTCTTGGTCTTGTCAAACATGTCTGAGGAGGAGGAGGAAGAGGAGGAGGAAGAAGAGGAGGAAGAGGAAGAGGAAGGAAAGGAGGGGAGGATAACTTCAAGACTGAGGGCCAAGCATCCTCAGGCACCACTGAGGCAGCCCTTCTCCCTGGGCTGGAAGAGGAGATTCTACAGAACCACAAGCCTGAGACCCAGATGCCTGCGCTCAAGACACTGCATCAAGATTTGCACCAGCCTCCTCCCCTGGCCACCCTTGGCCCCACCCCATCCAAAACGACATTTTCTCTGTAGGCTTGGCAGCTGGGCCCCAAGACCTTGATCCAAGATGACCTCTCCCTGCCTTTTCCTACCAGGGGAAGGGAGTCCCATTCTGCAGAATGGGAAACTGAATTAGCCTGTAGCTCAGCAGGGTCTAGAACTTGAGAAAGATCTAAGGGAAGGAGCTCTCAGTCTAGGGGATCTCATCTTGAAAACAGCATCCTCCGTGGCCAAAGGATTTCTCCTCAGAATGGCTACCCACCCATCTACTATCAACTATCAGGTGGCTCTACCCCAGTTCAAGCCCAGCGGGAAGGGCTGGAACTCACTTATCATCATAAGGCATGTCTCATCATTGAACGAGGACCAATTGGAGTTGACCAGGGCCTGCTTCAATTCCTTGATGGAGATGTAGCCACTGTGATCAGAGTCCACTGTCTGGAACCAGGAGTAGGCCTCGGGATCCACATTGGGAGGGGCGCCACCTAGAGGACAGGGTATGAACCAGGAGAGTCAGACCCAGGATTCAGGGCCCATCTACAGAAATGCTAGGAAGCATTTTGGCCTTAGGAAGGGCCGGCCTCAGTGCCTCCCTGTTGACAGGTTTTCCCTATCCCGTCTTCCATCAAGTTGACATGCTTACTGTGACAGAGGGCCTTCAGTGTAGACTCACAAGTATTTGCAGGTGATTTTTACACCATAAATCCTTTGGACTTTTATAGTGCTCCAGTCACTTTTCTATTTGATTTTATGTTTCTAAGAAACAGGGACCTGTTCCCCTCCAGCATATCAAGAATTCTCTGGAAACGGTGAGCTGAGGGATGGGGAAAGGGTAGTAGATGAAACTCGAGAAGCAGAGAAGTCTAACTTAGGAAAAAGCCAGAGTTACACAGTATTGGTAAACCAACTGAGATAACTGGCCACCAAAGGGGCTCCTTCACACAAGAAAGCATCAGAGACAGCCATGGACAGTTGTGGAGGACAGAAACCACTGCCCAGTCCCAAAGGTAAAACCAGAGGGAAAAATGTTTGCCTGACTGAGGGACTAGCCTGACCTCAGCAGTGTCGTGCTGGTGCAAGTGCCACAACCCCAGGCAAGAATTTCTGTAACAAAAGTGCCACAACCCCAGGCAAGAATTTCTGTAACAAGGGTGGTCTGTGTGGTTTGTATAGCTCAGAGTTTGGAATCAGATGGCTCTGATCCTTACTAACCTGTGTGACTTCTGGCAAAATGCATAATTTTCTGAGTACTGATTTCCAGGGTGGTCTGTGTGGTTTGTATAGCTCAGAGTTTGGAATCAGATGGCTCTGATCCTTACTAGCCTGTGTGACTTCTGGCAAAATGCATAATTTTCTGAGTACTGATTTCCCCATTTCTAAAATGAACCTACTCCCCAGGATTGTTGTAATGAGTAAATAACAGCAAAATGAAGTTCTTAGCAAAGGGCCAGGAGTGTGTGCTGTCTGAGACATTTTCACGGCAGAAAGGATATTTAAACTGGGTCTGAAAGGATGATGAATTGAGATGGGGAAAAGAAAGAGCATGCAGCAGAGGCAAAGTACGTTCAGAGAACTCCAGGGGGTCTTGGGTTGATGGGCGGGAAGGGGTCATGATAGGGGAAGGGGCTGGGAAGGTCCTTCAGGATCTTTCCTGAGGGCAGTGGAGCACCTTTAATAGTCAAATCTGTCTTCCAGAACAGCGGTGCTCAACTTTAGATCTGGATTCAGTGGAGCTGGGTGGGGCCTCACAGGTGACTCTAATGCGGGTGATATATGGATCATGCTTTAAGCAGCACTGCTGCAGCGGGGTCACTAGCTGCACTAGAGAGGCAATGGCAGCCAGGCGAGAGGAAGCAGCAGAGGGTGAGCAGCTGAGAGTATGAGGCACATCCCTCCTCTCCTCTCCAGCCCCAGAATTACCTGTGGCCTCAGGCCTTGGAAAGATAAGCCTCAGAATCAGAGGCTCCTTCCCCTGCAGTGACCTCATATGGCTTCAGAGATTTTAAAAGGATGAGGAAATCCACCATGGAGCTGCTGAGCCAAAAGCAAATGGCCAGAAGCTCTGGGATCCAACAAGATAAATGCCACTGTCTGGCAGTGCTCAGAACCCACAAGGTCTGAGCATCTCCCGCTGGGCTACCTGGCTGGGTATATATGCTAAGATGCTGCAGCTTCCCAGCAGTGCCATTCCCTGGAGGCCCTGCAGGTACACCACAGTGGATCCAGGCTGCCTTGCTGGTAGCTTGGTCTCCTGGGAATAATCATTCTGAGAGGGAACTGACTGAAATGAGTCTGGGGGAAGCAGGGAGCTGGCACTCACTTTCCCTGATCCTCTGACACTGCTCAGAAATCTTCACTGAGGCTAGAGCCCCCACGATTCTTTGCCCCCACTGAATGTCCAAGCCCCTGCCCCTTCCCTGTCTTGTCCAATACCTCACCTTCCGTATCTCTGCTCTTTATCTTCCCCCATCTTGTCCAATCATTCTCCTGCCTACTTCAGCACTTCTTTTAGTGGTAAGGCCCTTGCCACATCTGCTATCATATCAAATGCCAAATACTTCTTTGCTGAGAATGCCCCAGAACGAGTCCTCTCACAGAATATTGTTCATTAACAACCCTGTGAGGTAATGGCTTTGCCCCCATTTTACAGATGTGGATACTGAGGCTTAAAGAGGTGAACTAATTTGGTCAGGTCAGTAACTGGTCTGATCTCAGAAGCCAAGATTTCAATAACTACACTATCTAGCCTTTCTATATATAGTAGTCAGTCTCCCTCACATAGGAACAGGGTTTCCCCCAGTAGCATACTACATTGTTGTCTCCAGTTACTTGCTCATCTCCCTTTCCCTCTAAGAGCATTGTACATTCTCTCCCGCTGCCTGATGGCTTGCAGAACTCCTGCATGAGCGAAGCATCCATTCCCATCCTACTGATGTCAGGTCTGACCATGGCATGTGCTTTGGCCAAAAGGACGTGAGTGGATAAGACATACGGTACTCGAGAGCAGAAACGTTAAGAGGCAGCATGCATTCCTGCTGGCCCTTCTGCTCTTTTTCTCTGCCACAAGGACAACGTATCCCACATAGGGGCTGCTCCTTCAGCCTGGATCCCAGAATGAAAGGACATGTGGAGTAGAAACTCAGCAGCCAACTCACAGCTGCTGACGTGTAAGCAATGGTAAATAAGTGTGAGTGAACAACAGAAATAATGCTTGTTATTGTAAGCCAAGGAGATGGGCAGTTGTTACTACAGCAAAGCTAACAGACTTTTCATTCTGCTGATGCAAGCTGAAGCTGGAAGCAAGATGCTAACGTGCCAGAGACCAGGGTGCCTGCACACCCATAGGAAGGACAAGGATGGGCTGTGGGTAAGTCAGAACTATGTCAGAGGCACCCAGAGTCCAAAATCCCTACTTACCCTGTCCATAAGGCCCAGGCTGCTGGGCACCATAGGAATTTGGAGGTGGTTGACTATAGGGGCCTCCTGGGGCTGCACCACCATATGGTCCTCCTGGAGTTCCAGAAGGGAGACCTCCAGGGTTGGGGTGTCCATAAGGCCCTCCACCAGCTGGTGGTCCATAAGGCCCTCCAGGGGCAGGACCCCCATAAACACCACCAGGGGGTAGTCCGCTGCCATACTGCCCTCCACCGTGAGGGGGTCCAGGGTAGTAGCTGCCCGGAGGGGCTCCCGGTGCTTGTCCTGCAGCTCCTGGGCAGCCCTGCAGGAAGAGCAAGACGTCAGTCAGAACAATGAGGTCAGAAACTGGCCACAGTATGGCACTTCACAGCTATAAAGCAGTTCCACTGCCATTCTTTCAACCGATCCTACAGGTAGGGTTGGAATTATGATCCCTTTTATCAGATTGGAAACCTGAGGCTTCTAGAGGAACTACAAGTTACTCAAGGTCACACCACCAATAACCTGCAGAATCAGGGCTAGAATCCTGTCCCCCAGACTCTCCTTTCCTGCACACCAAGGGGCTCCACAAGAGCTGAGATCATCTCTGGTTTGCCACTTTATCCCCAGCTCCCAGTGTAGAATGTGTGCTCATTAACTATTTATTGTATGAATGAACAGGCAAATGAATCAAATAGAATTCCAAATGCTCACGCTGTGGTGTCCCCATCTCTAACTGTAAAATTCACAGGGTAAATGAGGTCTCCACTATCCACCCCCAACCCTCATCAGTCACAAACGATGTATCTATAGCATGTCTTCCTTATACTACTCTAGCTCATTATGAAAAAATAGTTCCCTGTCCTCACCCACCACTCTGTGAGGCCAGGAGAGGAGACTCTATTCCTAAGGCAATATGGTACAATGGCTAAAACACATCAGTTCAAGTTCAGGTTCTGCCCCTTACTATCTGGACTAATGACTCACCTTCCATAAGCTTCCGTATCTTCTACTACAAAATGGGAAAAATAACAGTACCTACCTCTCAGTTTGGTATGTGAATGAAATGAGACCAGTCGGCTAAAACACATCAGTTCAAGTTCAGGTTCTGCCCCTTACTATCTGGACTAATGACTCACCCTCCATAAGCTTCCGTATCTTCTACTACAAAATGGGAAAAATAACAGTACCTACCTCTCAGTTTGGTATGTGAATGAAATGAGACCAGTTATGTGAAGTACTTTGACACAGGACCTGGCACAGAGTAAGCACTAAATACACATTAACTATTAATAATAGCTCCTTCTGAGGAGGAGGAAACTCAAGTCCAGAGAAGTCAAACACAGACTGTATAGAGGGGCTGGGACCAGAACCCAGGTCTCCTGGCTCTAAGTCCAGGACATTTGTGCATTAGAGCATACATGGGGGCATTCCCTCTCTTGTCCATCTCCCCACACCACTAGCCATGGATCTCTGAGGCTCAGAGTGTTCTGCTACATCTCCCTAAATGGCCAGCACAGGGCCTGGCAGAGCACAGCCCCAACACATCTGCAGACAAGCTGAGCTCAAGGGCACAGAGAGCAGTTGCACCCAGCTCTGAGGACGGTACCATTTAAACATGTTCTAGATCAACCTTGCCAGTGAGGGTCTGGGCTTTCTCGTTTTATAGTTTCTGAGACAGTTACCCTTAAGGATGAGGCCAAATTCATACTTCATCTAAAGGAGGCCTGCTTGCCCAAGGAAGGGAGGCATCTTGGGGGAGGCAGGAAGCAGGCCCTGCCACCTCCCTCACTCAGCATCGTGGGAGCTCTTCCTCCCTGGAAGCTGCTGTAGATAGCTGCAAGACTCCTTCGCAGACAATGAAGTCACAGACAGATTTTGATTCAAAACTCCCCTCTCAACAGCTGAGTTCATGACTGCAGGCCACTGGTTTAATTTCTCTGAGCCTGCTTCCTTACAAATTAAATACAGGAATCCCTTCCTCACAGGATTGTTCTGTGGATTATAAGACATAAATGCAGCAAAACTCTGTTAGTTTAGTTTTTAGCTAAAGAATTCTTTGATAAAATAAATAAAAGAAAGTTGCTCTGGCTGAAGTAAAGTGGGGGTTCCAGAACCACAACCATGTGGGGTCCCTCCCTTGCTAGATTCTGAGGGAGCTCTGAAGAACCCTCGCAGTGATTCAAAAGACAGTCTGAAAAACACTAATATAAGAAAAATAGTTCGTACAGCAGCCTGGCATAAAGCAAATGATCAATAAATCATTGCTGCTATTGTTATTGTATTAATTATTATCATCAGCAAAGTCCTGGGCCAGGTAAACTCTGTGGGAAAATAAAGGAGAGTGAAAAGTTTTGAGAAGCTTACAGTTAATGTGAGAGGCACGGAGACATTCTCTGTAACATCTAACAAAACATTATAAGGAAACAGTTATTTAAAATGAACACATAAGCCACGTGCCACGGGTCTGCAAAGGAAAGACGGTAAAATCGGGAAGGGTTTCCATGAGAAAGTGGTATTTGAGCTAAGAAATAAAGATCCCCACAGGGGTTGGAGAGGTGTGACAAGATTCCCGAGGGGGTTGGAGAGGTGTGACAGGAGAAGCACCCAGAAGGCCAGTCACTTAACCTAACTCCCTCATTTTACAGATGGGGAAACTAATGTGAGGAGAGGGGAAGGGACCTGTCCAAATCATACCCTGAGGTGAAGGCAGAGGAGGGGCTGGGCCATTCCCCCATGCCCCCCCACCCCCACCCCATACCCAATGACTCCCACTGCCTCCTGCTACAGTGCTCTTCCCTGAAGCGATAGGGCACAGTATATTCCAGCATAGGATGGAAAGGAGGTGGGACTCTGCAGAGTCTGGGTATACTTAAAGAACAGGCTGGATGCCAAGCCAGGAAGAAGCTAGTCCACTATAAGCCCTGTGAGCAAATGCAAAAATTGTACCTGACCAAGGACACCTGACATACAGCCCTTCCACCTGGGAAACGAGCCCAGGCCAACAAAGCAAGTGCTGCTGGGAAGGTCTTCAACCCATCCTGTTATCACATTCTGGGGGCCTGCTGGGCTTGGTGCAGTTTGGCAGCAACTAAACCCTTTCCTTTCTGCCCTGCATTAAAGCCCTTACATGTTGTTTATAAGGCACTTCCACATAAATCAACACTACTGACAGAATTTTGCTAACAATTCCCTAACAGAAAGTAGAAAGATGTTAATAGGCCTATTTTTCAGATGAAGAAACTAAGGTACAGAACTGTTAAATGACTTTGTTCATCAAGCATTTACAGAGTGACGATACGGTGCATGGCTCTGTGCAAGGCCTGGGGGCAGAAAACTAATGAAACCCTGCCCTTGAGGAACCCACAGATAATTACGACACAGTCCAATCAGTGCCCTCAGAAAAAACCTACTTACATGCTATGAAAGAAGCATGGACAGAGGAATTTGTTCTGTTTGCTGAGTGAATAAATGAGCAATCAAACGAACAATGCATGAACTGGGTAAAGGAAGGCCTCCTGGAGGAGGGAGCAGTAATATTGGAGGTGGTCCTTGAAAGATGCATAAGCATTCCCCAAAAGGAAGTCAGGGAAGCACACTCCAGACAGAAGGGAGAAGACAAAGGCACAGAACTCATGAGCAAGCATGGTGTGATCAGGGAATAGGCTAAAGAGCACAGGCAAGAATGCACAGTGTGATCCCAGAAAGGCAGGCCCTTTACATACTCCTTGACTGAGCACCTGTCTTGCTGCATTTCAGGTAGCTGGTAAGTTGTCGGTGTCTAGGAGTAGTTTTTGTATAGCATCTCCCCCACACGACAGTGAGCTCCCCAGGCACAGACACTGGGCCTCATTCATCATGGTACTCCAGGGCCCAGCACAGTGCCTGGCACCTGCAAGCCTCCATAAATATTTGAACAAATGAACACCACTCCAAAGCATTTGGGCTTCATGGTGGAGAAAACAGTATGGTACTTTACAGCTGTAGAAGGGTTTCCAATAGGGAAGGAATGTGATCCGAGCCCTGTTTAGAGAATTAGCCAGCAGTGGTGGGCATGATGAACTAGCAGGGGAGGCAGTAGCCCAGGTGCTCGGCAGGCAGGGCATGAACCAGACAGCAGACTCAGGAATGGAGGGAACGATGGATTCTGAAGCTATTTCAGAGATAGACTAGACATGACTTGGCAACTAATTAGATTAGGAAAGAGATGAAGGGAGAGTGAAGAGAGGGAAGTGTTCAGAATGACTCAGGTTTCTAGCTTGCACCAAATGAAGGAGGTGGGGCCACCAAGTGAGGCAGAATCCAGGCTGGGGAGGAAGTTTGGGGAAGACAGTGAGACAGTTTCCAGGACCATTGAGTTGTCAGTAAAGGTCTGAACAAGAAATGAAACCAGAGTCCCTGACTCCATGTTCTTTTATACTACTCCATACTGCCAACCCTTCTGAGAATTTTTCCGAGTATTTCATATGGACAAACACAAGATTGTGAAAGGGGAAAAGTTCAGTAAGTACGGTTTCCAAAGCATCACAGGAAAACTATCTCTAGATCTTTAGCTGACTGCAAATAAGCTACATTTGATATATTGAGGGGTTGGGAGCAATCAGCATTTATTGAGGCTCTGCTAGGTGTTTCCAGTTCAATCAACTCTCACTGATCCTCAGTCCTCTGAGGTAAGCACTATTATCGCCATTTTACTGATGAAAAAATTAAGGTACAGAGTTTAATAATGGGCCTGAGATCACACAGCTAGAATGGGAGAGTTGGCAATTCAAAATAGGATCTGCATGATTGTACTGCATTACCCCCTTCTATTTGTTCATTCAATAAATGAGCGAGCCTCTAGCACGTGCCTGTGCCAGGGACTGTCCTAAATGCCTCTGTCAAATATGATGGATTTCTACAGTGGACGGGGGTTGGGAGGGAAGGTTTGGATCAGGTGATCTTTCAGAGCCTTCAAGCCTGTAAATCAGGGAGTCTCGGAAGAATCTTATTCTTTTTTCACTCCAGCACCTAGACCTAGTTTGAGAGTCATTCAATGGAAAAGATCCCAAAGACCCTTCAGTCCAGCATCTCAGTCAATAATGGAATCTCTGCAGTACCACCTGGAATGTCTATTTGCACCCCTGCAAGTGGTGGGGAGCTCACCCCCTCCCACATAACCCACTCAGAAAGTCCTGTATTGTCTTTTGGCTCGGAGGGCTCATTTTTCTACCCCCAAGACCCTTGTGAAGCTCAGAGGTATCAAATGCTGGTCCATGCCAAGTCCCGATAAGGGAGGAAGAAAGTTGCATTGCAAAGACAAGCCTGCACCCCAGAGCTGCCCCTCAAGTGCCCATTGGAGGAGGCATAAGCCCAAGCTAAGGGATTAAACAATCACAGGTAGACAGAAGGAATGGCTGAGTTGCATTGCAAAGACAAGCCTGCACCCCAGAGCTGCCCCTCAAGTGCCCACTGGAGGAGGCATAAGCCCAAGCTAAGGGATTAAACAATCACAGGTAGACAGAAGGAATGGCTCAGGCATTCACCAGCAGAGCCCCCTAAAATATTTAAAGGACAGAAACATGTAACCAATGGACAATGAGCCAAGAACTGTCCCAAGACTTCATTTACCACCTCTGTGCTGACACTCCAAAATCCTTCTCTTCAGCCTTCTCTCTCCTGAACCGTAAACACACATATACAACAGCCTCCTGGACCTTCCCTCCCAATCTCTTCCTCCCTCTGTGTTCCCACCTTAGTGAATGATACCTCCTTCCACCCAGTCACCCAAACCTAAAGCTTTAGAGCCCTCCTGGGCACCTCTTCTTTCCTCCCCTCCATCACCTCAATTAGGCACCAAGTTTTCCCAACTCTACCTCCCAAATGCTTCTCAAATTCATCTTCACCAGGTCACTATTCTCTTTAGCCTAGATTACTGCAACAGCTTTAAAACTGGTCTCCCTTCCTCAATCCATTCTCACAATGCCCCATGGTAATAGCTCCAAAGCACAAATGGGACAAAATCTTCACCAGATTCTTCACTATTAAGATGAAGTCACATTCCTCAAAAAGGCATAAAAGCCCTTTAGAATCTGGCCCTTGCTTATTGTTCTTATTTCTTACTCCTTTCCCCCTCATCACTGCAACGAGACTGATCTTAAAGTTCCTCCAAAATATTGGGCTGTCTTACTTGCCTCCTGGTCTTTATGCAACTATGGTATTCCTCTACTGGAATACCATTCCTTTCTTCACCCAGCTAACACCCACTGATGATTCCGTTTTTGGCTTAAACATCACCTCCTTTAAGAAGTCTTCCCGCACCTCTTGATTGAGCTAGGTATCCGTCCTGTGCCATCCTAGTACCTTACACTTATTCCTATTTAATACTTACCGCACTGTTTCTACAATGTGTAATCTGCATTTCTCTTCCACTTGGAGTATTACATGCCAAACACTGTATCAAGCACTTTGCATAGATTATCTCATTTCATCTTTACAATAACTCTGAGGTAGGTACTGTTACAACCCCAATCTAAAGAAGGGGAAACCAAGCTTCAGACTTTTGCAACAAACCTCTGCAAGGAGTGGCAGAGCAGGGATAAGAAGCCAAATCCCTCTGGCCTCAGAGACTAAACTCTTAAGCACTGAAATCTGTCAAGCTGTTCCCACCCCCTCCAACACCACCCTCACCCCCACCCCCAGGACCAAAGGGTGCTTAAGTTTTACTACTTCCTCAATCCATTCTCACAATGCCCCATGGTAATAGCTCCAAAGCACAAATGGGACAAAATCTTCACCAGATCCTTCACTATTAAGATGAAGTCACATTCCTCAAAAAGGCATAAAAGCCGTTTAGAATCTGGCCCTTGCTTATTGTTCTTATTTCTTACTCCTTTCCCCCTCATCACTGCAACGAGACTGATCTTAAAGTTCCTCCAAAATATTGGGCTGTCTTACTTGCCTCCTGGTCTTTATGCAACTATGGTATTCCTCTACTGGAATACCATTCCTTTCTTCACCCAGAGTCCTCAATCCATTCTCACAATGCCCCATGGTAATAGCTCCAAAGCACAAATGGGACAAAATCTTCACCAGATTCTTCACTATTAAGATGAAGTCACATTCCTCAAAAAGGCATAAAAGCCCTTTAGAATCTGGCCCTTGCTTATTGTTCTTATTTCTTACTCCTTTCCCCCTCATCACTGCAACGAGACTGATCTTAAAGTTCCTCCAAAATATTGGGCTGTCTTACTTGCCTCCTGGTCTTTATGCAACTATGGTATTCCTCTACTGGAATACCATTCCTTTCTTCACCCAGCTAACACCCACTGATGATTCCGTTTTTGGCTTAAACATCACCTCCTTTAAGAAGTCTTCCCGCACCTCTTGATTGAGCTAGGTATCCGTCCTGTGCCATCCTAGTACCTTACACTTATTCCTATTTAATACTTACCGCACTGTTTCTACAATGTGTAATCTGCATTTCTCTTCCACTTGGAGTATTACATGCCAAACACTGTATCAAGCACTTTGCATAGATTATCTCATTTCATCTTTACAATAACTCTGAGGTAGGTACTGTTACAACCCCAATCTAAAGAAGGGGAAACCAAGCTTCAGACTTTTGCAACAAACCTCTGCAAGGAGTGGCAGAGCAGGGATAAGAAGCCAAATCCCTCTGGCCTCAGAGACTAAACTCTTAAGCACTGAAATCTGTCAAGCTGTTCCCACCCCCTCCAACACCACCCTCACCCCCACCCCCAGGACCAAAGGGTGCTTAAGTTTTACTACTCCAACACCCAGTCCATGCTTGAGTACCCTGGGCTGGAGGCAGTGGAAAATTACAGGAATTTTGGCTCCTAACAATAGGCTGGAATCCTCCAGGGGCTATGTAGTGGGTGGAGGGGAAGCAGCACTGATTGAGCCTTTGGATGCTTTAAACAACCTGTTTCCTTACTTAGAACACCCGGGACCAGGAGGCAGACAAGAGTATGGTGGGGAAAAGCACCATTTCTTCTTCCATTCCAGACACTTTTCTCTCTGTGCTCCTTTTCAACATTCTACTATAAGCATAAGCCCAGGCAGCATGGCATGACAGCAATCGCAGCAGCAAGAGCTGCCACTGGCATGTACTATGCACTAGCAACGTGCACCACTCCCTACAGGCTTTATTGCACTGCACCCTCATTTCAGCTTTTTACAGGTATTATTACAGGTATTATTTCTCCCTTTTTACAGGTGAGGAAACTGAGGTTCAGAGCCCTTAGATGGTTTGTCCAAGGGTATGTAACTATTAATTAGTTAGTAGAGTTAAGATTCTAGCCCAGTTCTGTCTAACCTGTCACTGCTTCGAGGATGCATACAAATTATCCCCAAAGTTTATCAAAATGTAGATTCCTGGGCCATTCCTGGACACCAAATAGGTCTGAGGTGGGACCCAAAAGTGTGCTTTTTTAACAAGCTCTCAAGTGATTCTGATGCAGAAGACCAGCCACTGAGAAACAATGCACTATGACAAGGTTTTCCCTAACTGTGTTCCTCAGGAATATCAGTGTCACAAAGAATGACCAGACATTAAAAAAAAAAAAAAAAAAAAAAAAAAAAAAAAAAAAGATAAGGGGGGAGGAGGGTGCACAAATGAAGAATTTCAAACTGCCTTGTGGTGAAATAACTTATTCAGCGTATTTCTCAAACTTCTTTAACCACAGAATCCTCCTCTATTAATAATACCTATTAATATCTCACAAGACTCAGCAAATGGAACAGAGTCCTCCTATGCACAGGCCATGCTGGCCTCTCTCCTTCCTACCTCTCCTAAGTATGCAATGAATGGAGTTTTAAGCTCTAGCCCTGGCCTCACACTCACTTACTATGTGTGACCTGGGGCAAGCCACTTAACTTCTTTAGGTTTGTTCCTCAACTGAAAATAGGGAGTAATAATCCCTGCATCCCTATATAGCCTTCATGATTGGGATAATGGAGGTCCAAATAATGTGTAAGCTGTACAGGGTTGCACTCCCTGGAAGGGCTCACAGCTTTTGGCATGTGACTATGCTCAGTCAGGTGCTTTGCAATATCCCATCTGATCTCGTTTTCCAATTTTTCCTCCGTAGGTTTTATCTCCTAAACTACTGGGCAACTCAGGACCCCTCTTTGGGTTTTGGTTTCCTCCTCTGTTAAAATAAGGGGGCTATTTTGAGGGCCCTCCCTGCACTGACCTTCTAGGAGTCTAGTAAAAATCAAAATACCAAAAAGCAACACGGGTTACACCTTAATATGTACCAAATGTTTACAAACACTGCCTCATTACTTTTCCTAGCAGCTCTATGACATAGATCCTACTATTCGGCTTTATTTTAGAAAAGGAAACTTTGGCTCAGAAAGGCAAAATACCTTGCTCAAGGACTCAAAAGTATTCAAGTGATCAAGTCGAGATGTGAACCAACTTCTGACTCCGAACTGCACTTAACCCCTACTATTCTGTCACACAGCAAAGAATTCTGGCCACAGAATCAGCTTGCTGTGGTGATCGTGGCTGGATCATGATGGGCTGACAAGTTGGGACCAGGCATTTGCAGACAACCCAGGTTGTGACCTCGGCTCTGCCGCCTAACTGCCTGGTGACTTCAGATAAGTTCTGTTTTCTCTGAGTTTCACTTTTCCTGTGCGAAATGGAGATGTTGGGCTAAGTCAGACGTCAAACCAGCTCACTTGTGGCACCTGATACGGCCTGCCTGGTGACTTCAGATAAGTTCTGTTTTCTCTGAGTTTCACTTTTCCTGTGTGAAATGGAGATGTTGGGCTAAGTCAGACGTCAAACCAGCTCACTTGTGGCACCTGATACGGCCACAGATTCTCCTGCTTATTCTGATGCAGTGTGTGTGCGGTGGGGTGGGAAACCTTTATATTTATCCGACGACCCAAATGATACCGACGGCACCAGAGCTCTAAACGTCCTGCCAAAGCTGATGACCAACCCAAGACTCTCGCGGAAGCCTGAGAATGTGGAGCCCGGGCTGGATACAGCCTGGATCTGTGGGGTCCAAGGTCCCCAAATCCTGGCGTGCGCGACGTCAGAGGAGGCGCGACACGGCCTCCCCGACTCGCGGTCCCGCGTGACGTAAGCCGGGCGCGACCGGCGGTTTCTTTCCTCTCTCCCGCGCGATGCCTCGCTGAAGCGAACCCCAACGGGGGTAAGGGCGAGGAGAAAGCGGGAAGAAAGAAGAGCGGGGGGTCCCGGGCATGGACTTGGCACGGCCCCTACCTGGATCCGGGGACCCCTCACACTCACCGGTCCGTACGGATAGCTGGCCATGGCGATCCTGACGTCACACGCCGACGAGAGGTGGGGCCTCCCGCTTTCAAACCCGCCCCTCGCCTGGGTCTGGGGGCGGGCCCTGTTCTGACTGGACGTCCGCGACTGTCAATCCTGGGCGCTGAGGTCGACGGAAGTGACGCTACAGGGCGGTGGTCGGGAGCCGCTTGGACGGGGTAGAATTGCGAAGGGCTGAGTAGAGGTTTCCGAAGTCTTCTTCACTGAACTAGCGCGCCTGTTCCTCCCTTCCTGAGCCGGAGTAGGCCCCAGGGCTGGCCAAGCCCGGATATTTAGGGAGAAAACTGGGTGGGGTGTTGCTGCGGTGACCATGTTATAACCTGGCAAATGAGACTCGTGATAGTAGCGTAATTGCTGTCGTCATCCCGAGGTTCCGCCGGAGGAGGGCCCGGGCTGTTGCCGTGGCAACGGGAAACTGCCCGAGGTCGCCTGGAAAGGATGGAGGCGATGGAGAAAGGACTGTCTAACGTCAGCACACCGACTGTCAGTTAGTATCCTTCGAGATGCAAATATGTGGTCTTTGGAGAAGAAAATCCCAAATCGTCAGAGTCTGGGGAAAATTAGGTTATCTAGTGCCTCTTTCTTTATGAATGGAGAAACAAGTCCAGAGAGGCAGTGAGTTGCCCTAGTTCACAGTGGGTTAGCGGCAGAGTGTGGCCTAGAGCCGGGGTCAGTGTATGCCCCGTTCTCAACAAGGAAGTCTAGATTGGTCCCTATAGTTGGCCAAATCCTGGTTGCCAAGTGATCTCAGCACCATGTATTTGCCAGTCGGTGGTTCAGGTTCTACACTTGTTTGCGTGCTTATTTGATTAAGTTCTTCATGTGAGCAAGGACTGTGTCTCTTTCTACTTTTCATTATATCCCCAGTACCTATTACATTGCCTGACACTGTGTTTTTCTATTATATAAATGCATAAATTAGTGTTATGAGGTGTTAACTCAGCTCAGCCTATCTAACCATCTAGCCAGGCAATTTCCAAAATCACAGCCCTGATCATGCTGCTTGCCCACTGGACAGCATACAATGGATGCTCTTCATCCACGTCTACAAAATAAGGCCAATATCTTCATCCTGGCACTCCAGGCCCTTCACGATCTGGCCCAACCTCGCCTTTCCAGCCTTATGTTTTACAGCCCCAGTCTGTTTCCACTTTGTACTTCTGTGCTCAACTCCCCCATTCAGCAATCTTGCTTTGGAGTGAAGATCTTGGTTTTATCACTTTTCTACTGCATGACCTTGGGCAAGTTATTTAACCTCTCAGCCTCAGTTTTCTCAGCTGTCAGAAGCAAATATGTAAATTTGGAAGTGAGTTTATCGCACCTGCTCAGGTCCAGACTTATGCTCAAACCACTTATGCTCAAACCACTCCTTTCACCCGGACCAGCCCATTTCCACTCCCTCAAAGCTCAGTTCCAATCCCATCCTCTACCTAACCCTTCCACATTGCCACCAGCTCCAGTGTTGGCCACTCTTTTGCCAGTCTCCCTGTGCACTTGCTAATGTCGGTGCCTGCCTTGTATAAGAATTCTCTTTGATGGTTTTCACAAAATTCATTCCTCTCCTTCATCTCAGAAAATCCACTCATCTTTAAAAAAAAAAAAGGCGAGGGTGTCAGCCTGTGGCTCACTTGGGAGAGTGTGGTGCTGATAACACCAAGGCTGCGGGTTTGGATCCATATATAGGGAGGGCCCGTTAGCTTAGTTTGGGAGAGTGTGGTGATGACAGCACCAAGTTAAGAGTTAGGATCCTTACCAGTCATCTTTAAAAAAAAAAAAAAAAAAAATCCACCCAGTCTCTCAGTCCAAAAACCTAGGATCATTATTGGTTGTCCTCTGTTTCTCCACATACTCTCCCACCTCCATTTGCACTGTTTCAAAAATATACACATATCTGTTCTTTTCTCCCTGTTCACACTATCACTGATCCAAGTGGCCTGGGTCACTACAATAGTCTCCTAACCAATGTCCCTGCTTACACTCATCCCTCCACACTCCATTCTCCATAGGGCAGCCAGAGTGACTGTCTTAAAATGTAAATCAGATAATGTCATTCTTTGGCTTAAACTCCATCAGGGGCTTCCTATCACTTTTATAATAAAATCTAAACTCATCCTTATGACCTTTGTGGCTCTCCATGACCTAGACCCTGCCTGTGTCTCCAGCCTCACTTTCTGCCATTGCTGTCCTCCTCGGGTCACTCAGGCCATGCTGACCCAGTTGCACCTCCCCTGTAAATACTGAGCTCATTCCTGTCTCCAGCTCTTTAGATTAGCTTTTCTCTCTGTCTGGAATACTCTTCCCTTGACTTGTCAATGGTTGGCTCTTCCTTGTCATCCATGTCTCAGTTCAGATATCACTTCCTGGGGGTAGGGGAGCATTTCTTGACACCACATCTAAAGTATGCTGCCCACCCCCATTACATTCCATCTATCAAATCACTGTATCCTATTTTTTCATAATATTTGTCACTACTTGAGTTGTCCTCTTTAAGGATTACATGTATATTGTAGGATTGTCCTTTTATTCATTCCTCTATCCCCAGCACCTAGAAGAGTGCCTGGCATGAATTCAATAAATGTTAGTGGCCATTATTATTATTATTATTATGTATCAAATGCTCACTAGGTGCCAAACATTGTGCTAAGGACTATGTATTTAGTTTTCACCACAGTAGTTTGAGATAGGTACTATTATCCATTTATAATGAAGACCCAAGGCTCAGAAAAGTTAGCTTCCTTAATATCAAAATATAAATGTAGAAGTTAGGATTTGAACCCAGGGGCACATGCTTTTAACTATTCAGTATTTAATAGTAGAATCATGTCATCTTTACTTTTATAACCCCCCAATCCAAAAAATATTGGTGGGATTGAATTTCAAAATCTCAGAAAGGAAGAAGTCCTGAAGTCCAGGCTGAAGGTCAAGGGGACATTTTCCTGGAGAGAGAGACACCTGGCCTGCACACTGGGATTGTGTGATGCACATTCATTTATTCCACAAAAATATTAGTCTTTTGAGTTCCCACCACTTGCCAGGCTCTGTTCTAGGTACTCAGGATTCAACCCCTGTGAGAATTCTTTGTCCCCATCCCCCTCTACCCAAAAAAGAGTTCTTAGGAGAACTTTCTGTTGGAGGTCTGTGCTATTGGGAATCAGGGGCATTCAAGTCTTCTTGCAGGCAGGCAAAGACCAACTAAAGCCAACGTCTAGGGCTGTGCCTCTGAGGACCCGCAGCAGGCCAGGTGTGTTTGTTTTGGAGAGATCAGGATCTTCCAAAGACTGAAAAACATTCAACTCATTTCCAAAACCTCAACTACCTGAGGTAGACAGAGGTGGGTGGAGAAAGTTCCTGTTATTTTTTCAGTTTTAACCAAAGAAGAAAACTTGCATTCCAGCCCTTTTTAGAGCACAGAGCACTTTTCCGAGTTCGTGGAAGCCCTGCGGCTGACCCATTAGAGGTGAGGCAGAGCTTGGTACTGGAAGGCCCATCCACTGGAAAATACCACCTCCCCTAGACACATTGTCCCCTCAGCCGCCTGGCTTGGCACCATCTCCCGTATGGCTTACTGAGAAGGAATACCAACACCCACCTAATTATTATGGAATTAATTCTCTTTGATTCCAACTAGGTCCAGTTCTGAAATTTAAATTCCATTTGGAGGTTGTGGATCAGAGGGTGATTTGCAGCCTTCCACAGAACCAACCAAAAAATGAGAACAGCAGATGTGACAACTGGCTACAGTCTCCTTCCATTATGGGATCATAAGGAGAGTACATTAACATATTCTGTTCCCGTAAACTATCTGGGACAATAACAAAAAAGATCTAGTCTTGTAAGGGTTAACAAACCACATGTGAAGAAATCCTAATTAGATTCTGTTGAATTCCAGTGACAGAGGAAAATATTATGACGAAAAGGAAGATTTAAATTCCAGAAGCATCAAAATTTGGGATTTTTCTCTGCAGAATAAATATGCAGCAGCCCTTTCCCATCTTACAGAGCAGAGGATTTCTCAAATTAAGGACCCTGCAGTTCATTCTTTGCACTGCCAATGAACCCCCTGTGAGGCAAACCCGACTTGATATACCTTTGTGTAAAACCTATCAGTGGTTTCCCACTGTGTCTCCCCTGTTCTCGCTCTGCAATCCAACCCTACTGCCCTGTCCCCCGTCACTCAGCCTGCTGTGCTCAATCATCTCTGGACCTTGGCACATGCTGTTCCCTCTGCCTGGGTCGATCTCTCTCTGTCTAGACACAGTTAGGTTCCCCAGCTGTGCACTCCCCAGCACCTGGTACTGCCCAACATCCCACTTTATTGTAATGGCTTCTTTAACATCTGCTGTCCCCATAGACACTGTGGGGGCAGGGACCATATCTGCCTACTTTGTCTTGGGGGCCTCAGAGCCTAGTACAGTTCCTGGTGCAAGGTAGGAAGAGGAAGTGGACTCATCAAGTTAGACTTTGCCAATCAGAATGATCTGTGTGTTGCCTTAGAAGTCTGGAATAGACTAAGAAATGCAGAAGAATAACAGGGAAGGAATGTGGAAAAGCTGCCTGAGAGGAGTGGCAGTCATGTGCCCCTCCTTCCTTTCTCTTCAGTTTCCCCAGCTCCTGAACTGATGAGCAAGATCCACCGTTTTTGTTTTTGTTTTTGTTTTTTTTGCTGACTATAGTAGCAAAAGAGACTACAAAATTCAGCTTTCCGTCTGATTCTTCATGGTCCAAGAAAATATAGCAATTTCAAACTCCGAGGAAGCGAGCACTCAAATCATGAGAGCTTAAACCTAGCCTGTCATAGAATCCCATAAGAGTAGCATGAATTTGACTCAGGAAGACGAGTGAAGAAAACATCATTTACTCTGTAAGTCTTGATTACCCGGTGACCCTCAAAGGGGAGGAGTTTAAAGTATCCTCATAGCATTTTCCCCCTCTGGTCTTCAAAGCCAACCTGCTCAATTCAACAGCTGGTCCTTGCTTCTCTTTCTTTCTACTGGTGCCAACGTGCTCCTGATCATCAGGGCCATCATCAAAGCACTCTGCAGACTGGGCTGAAAGTGGAAGCTGGCCTTCCAATGGGAGTGCTTTAACATCTGTCCTCATCCGCTGTCCAAAACCTGGCCACTACTTCAATGCAAAGATGATGCATTTCCTTTTTAATGTTTTATGTTAGAACCAGGGTTAACAGAATTGCTGGTGAGGGGTGAAAAAAGAATTGACTCCTCCTTTATGTAAAAATATCATGTGAGACACTCGGGCATGCTCAGGAGTCTGCTTGATTTCATTCCTCTGGCTGTGGCACACCTCTGCTCCTGGCAGGAAAAAAATAGGGCAAAGGTTCTGAAAAGCCATCAATAGGCTGGTCTCCTGGTGTTTGGGGCCCAACAAAAGAAGGGAATTTTCAGAAATGTACTGGAAATACCAGTTCTGGAGAGATTTGACAGCCAGTTTGAAGGCTTCAGGCAGTTTGGATAAGAATCTAGACTTTGCATACATTTCTGAGCCTGCTCTGTGATCTCTTTGAAGTTTATCCTTCTTGAATAAACCTTCCAGAAAGCTGGGGCCAGAAAAAAGGCTTTCTTTGGAAGTCCCCCTGGATTTGCCCCGTTGCTTTGTCACAGGGCAGCCAGCCCATCAGGACAAGCGATCTGAAAAGTAGAGAAGGAAGATGCTTGAAACAGAATGTTTTTATAATGTTCAACTTGCTGTCTTTTCTTCTTCTTCTTCTTCTTACTAGCCTTTTTACATATGGAGAGGGAGACAGCAGATAGATCACCATACTCCCAGTGGACTTTGAGGACCATGAGCTTAGATCTGATCGTGGCTTGGCTGTGACCCCGTTGCACTTCTTACTAGCCTTTTTACATATGGAGAGGGAGACAGCAGATAGATCACCATACTTCCAGTGGACTTTGAGGACCATGAGCTTAGATCTGATCGTGGCTTGGCTGTGACCCCGTTGCAGTGATAAAATCTGGCTGTTTCTGAAGGCCTAAACTGAGATATATCACCATTCATAGTCCAGAAAGTCGTTGCCTGGAGCACTTATGGATAGCCAGTGACAGGGCCATGCGTTTGTGCAGGCAGGAGGTTCCATCTCATTTCCCAGAGAAGCATTCCCTGGTTGCCTAGTCCCAGGGCTGGAGCCTATCTTTTCTGCTGTTTGCACAAGTTTTCTAATCACAGAATTACTGGGGCATCAAGAGGAGACTGCATGCTTGGAGGGGCTTCCAGGCAGGTGAACACACCTCAGCACTGGGTAACATTTCCCAAGGTGCAGCCTGGATTGGCTTTGGGTCACACTCAGGAAATGAAGAGGGTGGGCATAGGGTTGTTGGAGTACCAAACACTGGTCTCTTTAGGGAAGCAAATAGGGAGGGGCCTTTATGAGCTGGAAGTGGGGTCTTTGAATCTGCTTTTGGTTCACTCAAGAGGAGGGGCTGAGTGATGCCTCTTCTCTAACTCAAGAGAAGGGTGCCGGGAAGGGCAGGACACAAGGCCCAGAGGGCCGAAGGATGAGCCAGAAACATCTGGAGAGGAGATGGACTGGAAGCACCCTATACAGCAGCATCCCACGACTCCTATGGCTGACCCCAGACAATGAGGGAGATGTCCTTTTTTTTTTTTTCCTTTTTGTCTTTTTTCGTGACCGGCAATGGGATCGCAACCCTCAGTGTTGCGCCCACACCTCGCTCAGCCAGTGAGCTGCCGGTCTGTATGTGGGATCCGAACCCTCAGCGGGAGTGCCGCCACGCTCCCAAGCGGCGCACACCGGGCCGGCCCCGAGATGTCCTTTTTTGACCCTGAGGCCAAATGAGAAAGGAGGATGACGGAGATGTGGTCCAGCACCAGATGAACCCCACTGGAAGTGAGATTTGCAGATAGTTTTGTTTATTTATTGTTAAAAAAAAATATTAACAGCAATTAAAAACGACAACAACAATAACACAAACATTCACAACCCATCACAGAGTCCTGTAAGCTTTGGCCATTTATTCCCAATGGAGTCCTTCATTCAATGGCAGGAGGTGATTTCAGCCAAAAGGCCCCTTCATATTTTTCATGGGTGGGTACTGCTGCTCCATTGGCATGGCTCCAAAGCAGTCAGAGGGGTTACAGTGGCCAGCCTTGCCTGGCTGGCCCATGGGACCTGGGGGGCCAGGGATGCCGGGAATGCCCTGCTGGCCCATTGGTCCCGTTGCACCCATCTTGCCATATCCCGGAGGACCTTGAGGACCTAGGGAGGGACAAGTCACGGAAGGAGAATCAGGAGACCCAGATCAGAAGAAATCGTGGCCATGGTAAGTAACACCTCACATATGAATATTTCTCAGGTTACAACAAGTTTTCATGATGACCTGATCTGATTCTCACATTGACTTAACAATAACAATACTTACTACTGGCTAGTTTTATTGAGAGCTTTCATGTGCCAAGCACAAGGCTGAGTGCTTTTTATGCATTATTCATTGAATCTGCACAACTCTCTGAGAAAGGAACTATTTCTAATTTTGTAGATGAGGACACCGGCTCAGAGAGGTCACACATCTGGTAAGCAGTAAAGCTGGGTCTCAGATCTGGGTCATCAGGCTTTGGCCATTTTCTTTCAGGCTATACAGCTAAGCATGTATCTTCAAAAGGCACACAGGCAATAAGAGGCTGAGCAGGACTTGAACTCTAGTTCCCTGGGCCCGACATGTGCAGCCCTCTCCTACTGGGTCATGCTATCCCAGCTTAGGACTTGAGGACAGGCACTGTGTCTTCCACCCCCTTCCTCCACAGGCCCTGGCAGTGTCTCACATACAGTGACATTACTACAAACAGTTGTTGATTGACCCATAGTATTTGGAGTTCTACACAACCATGCTGTAGAAGAAACATAAAGAAAGGGGGTCTCTGCTGCTCTGGATTCATGGTCTCAGATGCTGGTTTTTCCTACCTGGAGGGCCGGGGAGACCATTTTCTCCTGCAATGCCAATACCAGTGTCCCCCTTTTCACCTTTGGTACCAGGCAATCCTGGGACAAAGGAAATAAAATAAGTCCTATCTCTGAGCAGAAAAATGACACAGCCAGTCAAATTACTCGAAGCACACACAAACACACAAATACCACATTCACGACAGACCTCATGTAATGCACAAGTCTGCCCCAGAGCTACATGTGCCCCTCAGGAACCACAGGGCATACCTACCTCTCATTCCTGGCAAGCCCTGCCGTCCTTCTCTGCCAATCTGACCAGGGAGACCAGGTGATCCTGGAGCACCTGGCCGGCCTGGAGTGCCATCCTTCCCTGGGGGCCCTGGTCGGCCCGGAGCTGCTACCATCTCCATGGGGAACTGCATCCTGGAAGTGTAGTAAGCCATCCTCTCTGTAAGAAAGGATAAGAACTGATCACAGGGTGCCCCAGGGACTCAGACTGCAGATGCTGAAGACAGGCCACCAGCATGGAGTCCAAAACAGCCTTCCTTCAGTGGGATGCCAGGGCAAGGAAGTGGGCTGGTCTCCTAAGCGGCACCCGTGCCCCGGCCTCCACACTGCTCTCCCTGGAGATCTTTCTGAAGCACAGATCTGATTACGGCCTCTCTTCTCCACACTCTTCACCACTTTACCGCTGGCTTCAGAATCAAATCCAAACTCCTTGCTTCGTATTCAAGGACTGCTTCCCAAACAAGGTGCCCAGCCCCTTCAGGACAGGGCATACCAATGTTGGATGAACAAACAGAAGAAAAGCTTAAAATAAAACCTCCCCAGCCACCTACAGTTGTGCTCGCCCCTCTGTCTGGAGCCCACTTCGTGCAGACTTGTTTGATAGCAATTTTCTTGTCTGTCTCCTTTGCTCAAGTGGGGCTTGGGGAGGGCAGGGGGGAACCGTTTTATCTCTGAGCAGGTGACAAGGAAGGTCTGAAGGATAATTGAGCATATGCCTGTCAAACCCCAGGCCTGTAAGTACAGAGCGGGTGACAAGGAAGGTCTGAAGGATAATTGAGCATATGCCTGTCAAACCCCAGGCCTGTAAGTGTGTGGGGCTGAGAAGGGAGGATGCTGAGCTTTAAGGAAAAGGAAGCCAGGGCAGGGCAGAGAAGTGGCAGGGAGGGGCAAGCAAGCAGCACCCACTGCCACCAGCCAGCTGCCAATTACCATCAAACATTTTAATGATCTCTTGTCTGATGAACCTCTTGATTTCATCATAATTCACCATGTCTCCCTGAGAAAAGAGAAGAAAACCTGCCTCAATTACACTTCCAGGCCTGGCGCTTTCCCCTGGGGAACAGACTTCATGGAAATAAAGGATGGGGAGGAGGGCAAAGGTCACAGGAGCCTCCCACAGATTCTTAACCCAAAGTCCTAACCACCCTGAAATGGTCTAAATCATTTTGTGCTTAAGTGCGTTTTTCTGGGGAGAGGATTCTATAACCGCTCCCCTCCCCCACACAGTGAAGAACCACCTACATGGGAGTCATGCTCTTTCCTGCAGAATATCAGCAGGAGCTTCTAAAATGACCCCTGCTCCACCCCACATGCCTGCTCTGTGGGACAGTGTCCATGGCTGCCCTCCCCCTTACCATGGAGCCAGGCACGCCAGGCAATCCAGGGCTCCCCGCGGGCCCTGGAGATCCAGGGTGGCCTCTCTCTCCTGCAGGACCCGGAGGCCCAACAGGTCCCATGGAGCCACTCTTGCCAGGCCCGCCAGGCATGCCAGATCTCCCCTTTTCTCCTGCTTGGCCCTTCTGTCCTGCGGGCCCTGGATCACCCTACAAGGACAGGAAGTCACAGTCTAGCATTACCAAGCTGTCAGGTCTACATTATGATGTCTCAGCAATCTGCCCCTTCCTCTCCATCCTCCCACCGGCATCTCTCTCTGGACTATGGCTACAGCATCCCAACAGGTCACCCTGCCTCACGGCCCCCAAAGTGGTCCTTCCAGAAGACAGTTCTCATGATATTACTCCCTGCTTAGAAATTCTGATGGCTCCCACCTGCCCACAGAATGAAGACCTAATTCCTTGGCCAGACATCCAAGACCATTCACGATGGGTCCTGATCATACCTTCCTCAGCCTCACCTCCCTGCCCTTGCACCTTCAGCCAGACCTCACTGGCTGTAATTCTCTGATTCTGCCATGCTGTCTTAATCCACCCTGCCTGGAATGCCCTCCCTCCCTCCTTCTCTACCAAGTGCACTCCTCCTCCTCAGCCAAAATGTTCCTATTCTCATGCAGCCTCCCTGCTTCCCCAGGCTGAGCTGTGTGCTCGCTTCCCATGACCCTACATGCTGCCTTATCTTCTTCTGTAAAGCTTGCCATACTCTAGTGTAAGTGTGACTGGACTACAGGGAGCACCTATTGTTCAGGGGCCTCCGTTTACCCAAGGCCAGGACAGAGGGCCTGGAATGTGAGCAAGACCAAGTGGATGTTGTGGAATGAAAAAAATGAATGAATGAATCAGTAGGTCAGAGAATAAACTGGAGATTTCCATTCCCCCAACCACAGCTAAGGAAAGGCCCCATGTGAGAAGTTCTCAGAGATGACATTGCTCCAAGTTCCACCCACTTTTCTTCCTGCCTGCTGGTCTTCCTGGGTCTCCTCTCTGTGGCTCAAATCATAACTTGCAGCTGGGCTTAAACAACCCAGGAGCTTCTCCTCTCAAACCAGCCAGTGCCCACTCACCTTTGGCCCAGGAGGTCCATACAGTCCCTGTTTTCCAGGGGGTCCCTAGAGGAAACAAAAGTCAGGGGTCAAGTCTGGTCAGCATCTCTGAGGCATTCGGAGGAGGTAGGTACAGTGACAGGGCCACCTGCCCTAGCCCCAGACCACCAGGCTGTGTCCAGCTGGGCTCTGTATAAGAAAGAACAACAGCCTCCCTGCCAATAGAGGGGTTGACAGCTGGAAGGGAGAATCATGTCCCTGGGGCCTTGTTTGATCATGTAGGCTGGGTCCCCCATCACAGATGAAAAGAAGGTGAGGATAAAGAACGGAGGGCCAGGCAAGAGCTGATGCCCCAGAAGTATTTGTTTGACCAGGTACATGATTAAAAAATTAGTGTAAAACAAGTCTTGCTTCCACCCTTGTCCCCTAGTCTCCAGTTCCTCTCCCCAGAGCAACAGGGGTTATCAGTGTCCTGTATATCTGCACAGAAATAGTCTATGAGTACAGGGGATGTTTACTGAATGAATGAAGAGGGGGCAGGGCAGGGCAAGGAGCAAGCAGAAGGGAAAAGGAGAAGACCAGCTCAATGGTACCTCTTTGCCAGCTGCACCGTCCGCACCAGGTTCACCCTGGGGAGTAGAGAGCCATGGAGATGTGATGAGCCCCAACCCAGTTTGGTGCCACATGCCTCACATGCTCAGCCACCTGTTCCACCGAGAAGCCATGATCCTCCAGCCCTCACCCTCTGACACTCTGGACACAGGTGGTGTAAACTGAGACCCCCACCCCACACTCCAGCCTGGTCCCAGAGCCCCATACTAGCAGCTCCCAGTGGCCCCCCTGCCTGAGCTCTACAAGGGAAGAACAGCCTGCCTTGCTCTTTGCCTGGAATCCTGACAACTTGCACACTCCCTGGCTGAATATATGTTAAATGTTTGCTGAAGGAATGCATGAACTGTGAACCTCTCCTCGAGTGAGGTCCTAGAGATTGGCCAAGGAGAGCCTGAGCCTGCTCCCTCCCCATACAGGAGAGGCTGCCTCTTGTCCCAGCCCTGCTCTGTGGGATGCTGGGGAAGAGGAATCTGTGATTGCAAGGCAAGTGGGAGATCCCTCCAGGGGCTCTGGAGGCTCCTGAGACTGCAGGCAGGGAGGGAGGCAGCATCGAAGGACCTGCCCTGAGTCCTTGGCAGGAATCAGAGTGAGTAGGAGTGGAGAGGCTAGGCCCTCCTGGCAGATGCGCTCACTGATAACCCCCACACTGACTGGGGTCATGTACCCCATCCCAGGCCACCAGCCCCAGGGTTGCTGTTACTGCTCCCCAGAAGAAAGTCACCTGAAAAGCTACCTGACCTGGGGGCTAGGAGACCTGGGTCCCTCTCTCAGTTCTCCCAGGAGACTTTTCATCCCTGAGACTGGCAATCAGTTCTAACTGATGTGGTATAGCTGTCTAGAACTTTTGAAAGAGGTGGTTTTGCTGAGTGGCTAAGGACACAAGTTCTGGGATCAGGTAGGCTGGGGATCAAGTCACAACTCTTCCACTCACTAGCTGTGTGAGTCTGAGCAACTTACTTAACCTTGCTGAGCCTGTTTCATCATCTATGAAATGGGGATAGTCACATCTTCTGAATTGCAGTACAGATTAAGACAAAGTGCACATCAGGCACTTAGTTTGTCATTCAGCACATGGCCAGTGACCAATACATCACCGCTCTTAGTGTTAAACATTAGCTGAGACAAGTCGTGGTTTCTGAGGTGCTCAGAGAGTTACAGTAATAGCACTGCATTTCTGGTTCCTGACATCTACTGACAAGCTCCCTGGGGAAGGGGCAGGGACCAGGTCTTCTCTGACACCTGTTTGAGAGGTCTGCATACAGCTGCTGCTGGTGCATCGTCAGAGGACCCTGTGTGCAGCTGGCACAGCACTGGTCTGCAGGCTGTCTTTCCAAATGTAATGAGATCCTCAGGTGCAAGCTCCATGCTGCCATCCTGCCATGGAGCCTCTCTTTCCTTGGAGACCCCAGATGTGCAGTGCATGCTCAACTTGCAAAGCCAACTGACCTCTTCCTCCTGGGCTGTGCCATAAAATGTGGGGTCTTACCGGGGCACCAGGGTGTCCGGGTGGGCCAGGCTGGCCTGGAAGTCCTGCAAGGCCCCTTTCTCCGGTGGCTCCCCGGTCTCCTTTCAGGCCCTAGAGAACAGAAAGGTGGATGGTGAGAGGGAAGGGAAGAGGGTGAAGTGGACCCCTACATAGCCAGAGGCAGATACCTTATCACGTGCCAGGGACCATGTCCCCCACCTCCCAGGCCCCACAGGAAGAGAAGGGCTGCCTGAACTTAAGGCGGGACCCTGGGAGGACCCCCAGCCCTCTCCAAAGCCCTTTACCACATCCTGGAAAGGGAGACAGGAGAGGCTGATTCCAGGAAGGAGCGGGATGGGGACAAACTGTTCTCCATCCCTCTGGCTTCCTCTGAAAGGAGCCCACAGCAGAGCGGGGCAAAACTCCCAGGAGGGATAAGGAGAGGAGCGTGTCACTCACCACTGCAGAGATTCCAGCTGGACCTGGCTGGCCTGGAGGCCCTGCGGGTCCCTAAAGAGAGACAAGTGAGTGGGATGGAAGAGGGTCCAGGAGTCAGGCCCCAAGAGGCAGAGGGCCCAATGACAGAACAAGCCCTGAACTTCAGCAGTTCCATTCTCTTCCTGAAACTCTTTCTTCCCTTCAGGTCTTGCACTTGAGCTTCTGTCAAAAGATATGTGTCCAGAGCTGAGGCCTGGGGGCCCTGAGCACGCAGGATGGCTCCCACCTACCCACGCTGAGTGGTGTATCAGGGGCTGTGCTCAGGGGATGGTGTGGGAGCCACAGCCAGGGAACAAGTGCAGAGGGCAAAGGGAGTTAACTACCTGAGGGAGTTAACTACCTGTACTGGGTGTCTTCTGAGACCTCCTGCTTCCCTAAAGGCATCCCCACTTCCTGCTGTTCTATGGAGGAAGGAAGACCAGGAGCTGGGGTCTGCATAGCAGGGGGTGAGGGGCAGAGGTTCAGCACTGACCCAACATCCACACAGATAAGCTCAGTAGCCAGGCACTCAGGCCCTCTCCCTGGTCTCCCACTGCCCCACCAATATAAGCCTGATGAGGCCCCAACACCCAGGAATGCTCCTGCCCCCTGCACTGGGGCTGCATCCAAAATGCCCTCACCCACCTCGAAGGGCCCGCATCCTCGCCTCTGAGGCACAACTCAAATGTCACCTCCCTGGTCAGAGAGACACCTTCTCTGAACCCCAGGACACTCGGGTCCCTCTCAGATAACTTCCCTCCTAGATGAAAAGTTCATTCCTAGATGGAAAGTTCTGGAGGCCACAGCCTCTGTTCTGCTTATCTCAAGTCTCCTGGGATGGAAATGTCCAGCACTGGGACCATCACACAGCAGGGGGCTGGGCTGGACAGACAGAGGTGAGAGGAGGAGCCCTTCACCCTTTTGTCCCCAGCCCCCACTGAACCTCCTATGGGGCCACAGTTCAGAGCATGTGACTCCTTCTTTCATCTGTAATGGGAGGGGGACCAGGCTAGATCTGGGGTCCCCAATCCAGGACCTCTGGATCCCTTGAGATACATAAAAATAGTGATGGGGACTTGAGAGTTCCTTTTTTGCAATCATGAACTATTTTGAACATTTCCAAAAGCCTGGAAATTATACAGCCAGCCACAATAGGGCTGCAACAAAACACCAGCGTATCTGCTTTTCTCTGGAGCTCTATCAGCTCAGCGCCATCATGATGATCAAAGACATTAACTGACAGTCATCTCCATTACTGAATAATAAAGTAGATGGGAAATTCATCATTATTTAATAAACATCTTCTACAAGTCGTCCTATCTCAGGGCCTGCACCTACACCTACTTACCCAGATGCCCAAGCCAAAAGCAGCAGTCACCCTTGATTCCTCTTTCTACCACTCCGCTGGGCCACCCATCCCAATCCCGATCATCAGCAAGTCCTGCACCTCCAAACACCTCCCAGATCTGCCCGCTGCTTCCCCTCTGCACCGTGGCTAGCTGTCCACTGCTTCCATGTGCATGTCTCCCTCCGAGGGCCGCCACCATCTACATTGTGTCCTCCTGTAAGCTCAGCTTTCCAGTCCCCACCACATCTTTCTCAAGCTACACTCCAGCCACGCTGGCCTTCTTGGGGTTAACTGAACCCACCAAGCTCCTCCCTGTCTTAGGCTCTCTTATGGACTCTCTTCCCCAGACTGCTCAATAGCTGGCTCCTTTTATTCAGGCCGCAGCTCAAATGTCACTTCCCCAGTAGGTGTTCCTCTGGAGTCACCTCCCAGTCCCTCCCTGTAACATCACATTGCTACCTGATGCTTTCACATTAATTTTTCTGTGTGTCGTGCCTGGATGGAAGCTCTATGAGGTCAGGCACCTTGTCTGTCTTGCCCACTGCTGTTGCCTCAATGCTTGAAACAGTGCCTGGTACGGAGCAGGTGCTCAATAATGATTTGTTAACTAACTGAATGACCTTTGTCTGATAGTGAACTTGAATATGCCCAGAAAATAAGAAAATGTTGAAAAGCCTAGGAACCACTGACTTGGGTGAGCCCACAGCCCCCTCTAGCTCTGGTTGGGGCAGCTCCTGCAGTCAGTTCTCTCATGTCGTCCCAGCCTGCCCACCACCACCCCACCCCATTGGAATCCTAACTCGCATAGAGGTAGAAACAAAAACAGTTAACTCACAACATGGCCGGGGGGGCCGGGTCTTCCCTGGGGTCCCATGGCACCAGGCTCACCCTGTGGGAGCCAGAAAAAAAAAGAAATGACACAGCCAAGGAGTTACGTGCACACATGTGGCTGTTAGGTGGGGGAGAGCTGAGCAGAGCTGGTGGGAACGCCAATGGGCAGAGGAGCTGGGCTGAGCCCCAGCCTCCAGACCCAAGCCTGCCAGGGCCAAGGGGCCAGCCCTGCCCCATGAGAACTGCTAAATGGAGAGAGAGGCACCCCCAGCCTGAGAAGGCCAGGCCCTGCCATTTTTAGTTTGGTGACCCAACAGCCTCTAGGGAGTGGAACCAGTTACAACCCTTAAGAGGAGGGAGAAATTCAAGATGTGCAGGGATGGGTGAGACCTCCCCCAGCAGGCCGAGGGGAGAAGGCAGCCACTCTGCCAGTGAGCAGGAGGGAGCAGCTGCAACCCAGACTCAGCAGAGTCCCAAGGCCCACTAGAGGCACAGATCCAGAGTCCTTACCTCTGCTCCAGGCCGGCCACTGATGCCAGGGGGACCTGGATTGCCACAGTCACCCTAGAAGACAGAAGGGCACCTGGAGCTTGCCAGACCTTTACTTGGCACCCCCCATGCCAAATCAACCCCACATCAGAGGGACCCTGCCACCTGCCCTGGCTTTGGACAGAGGCCCTCTGATGCCCCCAGGCTGGTAGATGGTGAAGCCCCAACTCAGCGTGCCAGGCACTGGTGACCTCAGAAGGCTCAGATGTTAGGATGGCATCTCAGCCAGAGGTCAGGTGGCACCTCCACCCCGGCTAGGCTGCCATGTCTGCCTGAGGTAAGGCCTTGGGGAGAGCAGAGAAAATCTGCTTGACTGAAGTCACCAGGCCCTTACCTTAGGTCCTGGGAGTCCGGGATGTCCCGTTTTCCCCTTAAAGCCCTGGAAGAAAAAGCAGGGAGCTGTCATATCCCTCGCCTCCCCCAGGGGCCTCTTCCCACTCCTCCTTCCTCAGGTTAAACAAATCAAACCAATCCAAAGTCATGACACGGTCTGTGGAGGGCTGGATTTGAGCTGCCACAACCACCCAGGCAGAGGCTACAACTGCTCAGCCTTGACACCTCTGAGCTCCCAACTCCTTCCTGCAGCTCAACTTACCGGGGGTCCCATGAGTCCAGGTGGGCCAGCAAGACCAGGGTCCCCCTAGGGAAAGAGACCAGGGGCATTGAGACAGGAGTTTTGTCCTGCTTGCACCCAACTCATTTACCACTGTCTTCTCCTTCTCTGGCTTCTCCCCCTCCCGGCTATGTCAGGATGGAGAGAATGTCACATTGGGCAGAGGGAAGACTCCAAGCCTGGCTCAGCCTCTGATTGGCTGTGGACCCTGAATGAATCCCGGCCCCTCTCTGGGCCTTCTTTTGGGTATAGAAGGGGGTTGACCTTGATGTTCTGCCTTTTTCCATGGCCCCATCCCTTTCAGATTTCCCAGCAAAACTAGCCCCAAGGAGCTGGGGCTTGCTCAAGTCCTTCCAGATCTGCAGCCTGACTCTTTCTGAAACCCAGCCTAGTTTCTTTAGTTGCCTGCATTCCTAGGTATAAATATATTCCTTTCACTGTCCTGCCTTTGGTGATGCCTAGCTCATCTGACCTGGTTAAGACCACTAGGAGAACTGAGAAACCAAGGGGCTCTGGCGCCAGCGGGGAGGTGGGGGGCAGTGGACTCCATCAGGGTTCATTGGAGTTCCCTTGACTTTAGCACTTGGCAAAGGAAGGAGAGGAAGCAGTGGCTGCCCTCCCCATCCCTATCATCTCACCCTCAGGCCAGGCTTGCCATCCTTCCCATCCAGACCATCCAGACCGGCCGGGCCCTGGAAACAGGAAAAAAGCATTTCTGCATGCCTGTGTTGCAGCCCTAGGAGAGTGAGACCCGACTCCACCCCTCAACTCTCTCCAGCCCTCACCCAACTCCCACCCCTACCCACACACACATGCACACGCAGCCTGCCAGGCTAAGAGAACACACACTCACCTGAATTCCGGGAGGTCCTGGTGGCCCAGGGGAACCAGGCAGGCCTGATGGTCCTCGAATCCCTTCGCTGCCCTGGAAACCAACCCCCCCAAAAAAGTCAGCAGGGTCTTGCCCCACCCTTAGAGACTAAGCCCTGGGCCAGGGGTTCTGGTGACCACTGGAAGTCAGGATCACTGGCTTCTAACCCTAGTTCAGTCCTGGTGTAACTGGATACACTGCACACAACATCTCCCCAAAAGGACCTGTCTTCATCTGCAAAGCACCCCTCTTTTCTCACTGTTCCATGAGGAAGGGACAGAGCCCATTCAGCCCAGTGTCATCTTCAGGGTTGACCCCAGGGCTGATATGGCAGATGCACAGTGACATGTGCTAACTGAAAGCACACACTCAATTCACAGGGGTCCCCAGCACATCCGGCACTATGTGGGCCCTGATTCCCCAAGATTAAAAATGTGGGTGTCCCCTGTCCACAAGGAACTCATGGTCCAGGGAGGGTCCCAGGACCACCACAACCAAGGGCAATACCACAGTCCATGTGCTCCATGTGGAAAGGGGCTGTGAGGGTCCAGAAGAGGGAGCGGCTCACTCTGGCTGGGGATCAGGGAAAGTGTCACAGAAGAAGTGTCCCCAGATGCCAGACTCTGAAGGATGTCTGGGATAGGGCAGGTGGAGGAGAAAAGAGCATGCCAGAGGGAACCTAATAGAAGGATAAAGATTTGGAAGTGGTCACATGCCTGGCCTGGGGATCCCAAGAGCTGGCCAGAGTGGGAGAAGAGGCTGGAGGAGTCAGAGCCTGATTGCGGGGAGGGGTCGGAGTGCCGTGCTAAGCGTTATCAGACAGATAAGTGGTTTCAAACTACACTTCTCAGAGCCCTGGGGAATCTTGGGGGAGCCTCGGAGCTGGGGATATGAAGTGGGGACTCAGAGGGTGGGTCCCTTACCATTGTCTTAGAGCAGCTCCACTTGTATCTGTTTATAGATTGAGGTTTTATATGAGCTTTTGAGTGATGAAAGGCTTGGGAACTCTAAAATAAAGTCTGAAAACCAGGAACTGGGGAGCCATTGAAGATTCAAAGCAGGCGAGTGAGAACAGATGTGTGAACTAGAATATTTACCAGAGAAGGAGGGAATGGCAAGCAGCTTGGGGGGGGGGCTGTCCTGGATCAGTGGCAGTGGAGGTGGCCAAGGGGAAGGGATCCAGCTAGAAACCCCGCAAGGGGAAATAGGGCTGGGGGGGGGGTGGCAGTGCAATGCCACCAGCCACCAGGAGGGGTCAGCACAGCCCCAGCCAATGTTGTCCCCCCCGCCAGGAGTTGGGATGGAGAACCACTGGCCAGAGGTTTGGGATTCCCTGCAATGACCGGTCTAAGGAGAGCAGAGACTGCCACCTAGGTCCTCCACAGGGAAGGAAAGGGAAGGGAGCCAAGGGAGCTGGCAGCCACCACTGCCCCACCCACGGCTGATAGGAACAGACTCAGTGTCTGGGGAGGCCGGGGGCTCTGCTGGAGCTGGGAGGGGAGTCTCAGCCCTGCTGGGCACTGTGTGCCCTGGGCTGCCCCCTGACCTTTTGGACCTGTTTCTTCACCTGTACAGTGAGAAGTCAGTGTGTGTGCTTTCTGAGGAAAGAGGCTCCCCACAAGGCTGCGGGCCTACTGCCCCCATTCTGGACCCCGATCCCTCCACCCCAAGCTTAGAAGTCAGTCTTGGGGCCTCTCACACCACCCACCCGGCACATCTAGGGAGCCCAAAGGTTGGGCTGAGACAGGAAGTCAGCCCATCAGGTCAAACTCAAGGGCAGCTCATATGGGCACTCCCAAGACTGCTGCTCCTCCCCAATCTGTCACCAGGTCACAGGCCACCCCTGTCCTCTCTGGCCCTTGGGGACAGCCTGAGCATGGTTGCCTGAGACGGAGGCCCATTCCCCATCCAGGCGGGTGTCCTCCTTGGGGCTCCTGTCTAGGACATGCCTCCCCCTTCCCTCAGCTCCCAGCCCTCCCACTGAGGAGATGAAGCTGGGCTGGCCCATGCCATTCCAGCCATCCACCTCTTACCACAGCCTTCTGCCTCCTCCCCTCCACCATCCCTGCCTTTCCCCTCCCCAACAGACAGGGCCTGGGCTGCTCAGAGGCTGGCAGGTATTCTGGACCTAGTGGCCACCCCGAGGAGCTCATTGGTCTAACACAGTCCCTGTTGCTGTCCAGCGTGGCTGGGCCCATCCTGGACACCTCTTTCCCCAGCCTTGATGCAAAGAATCAGTCTCTGAATTTCCCAAAGGCCTGAGGCTAGGGGTGGGTTAGGGGTAAGGGTGCTGCGTGGCTCAGATTTGTGACTTTGGCCAACTTGGGGTCCTGCTCACCTTCTCCGCTGGGGGCCCTGGTGGGCCAGGTGCTCCAACTTTGCCTGGGAATCCAGGGGGACCCTGTATCAATATAGGAGCAGGCAGGAGTGAAAGCAGGGCTCGGGGGGAGCTCCCCTCCTGTCTTCCTCCTGCGCATGTTAATGCAATCCATTCTGACTTCCTAGAAACACCACCCAGGAGCATTATGGCCGCCTGGCCTGCTGGGCCGGGGCCCACCCACGAGGCCCCACTCTCCAGGTCCTGGCTCCTGGAATTGGGCCTGGCCACCCAGGCCGGTCTTTCCCTGCCTCTTCCCTCCCTTCCCAGGCCCATCGTCACCCAGCCCAGCCTGGTCAGGCCTGCCCCTCCCAATGCGACCACATCAGACAGAGCCAGCTCTGTCTTCACTCACCGGCGGGCCTGGAAAGCCTGGCTGGCCTTGAAATCCCTGGGGAAAGAAGCAAGGACAGTGTGCTGTGCCGCCCCCTCTCTCCTGCCTGGCCGTCCAGGTGGAAAGAGTGACAAGAAGAGGCAGCCTCAAGCCCATGGGGCCTTGCCCAAGATGGCCTGCAGGTGAGGCTCTGGGCATGAGGTGGGAGGTTACAACTCAAGGGTGGGTGGGGCAGGGAGGCTAGAGTTGGTGACCACCAGGGACCCCCAGCCCGGTCCCAGTCATCACTCACCTGGTCGCCCTTTTCACCCGAGTTCCCTTGCTGTCCTCGCTCTCCTCGGGGACCCTGTCACTCACAGGGAACAATGCAGCTGGAACCCATTCTTCCTGCCCTTGGACCCCAGGGCAGGACCAGGACCAGGGCTCCCATGTCTACATCTCCCTGCCCCGTCCCTCGCTCACCGCTGGGCCTGGGGGACCTGGGAGGCCTTCAGATCCTGGTGGGCCCTGGGGACACAAAGAAGCAGAATCAGTCAGTCTGACTGGGGTAGATGAGGGGTGAGGCTGGTGGACTGGGGCAGGGGTCGGGGCACAGAGCAGAGGCAGGGCATGCGGCAGGCCCCCTAAGCTAGCAGGACTCCCTGCCTGGCCTGTTCGCGCCTCCTCTCCCTTGCCTGAGCTACTGAGTCAGCCAACTAACTAGTCCTGCTGCCTCCTGGCTCACTCCAGTGCAGCCAGCAAACGGCTGCCATCTTCTCTTCCTCAAGCACAGCTCTGATTACATCACTCCCTTGCTCAAAAACCTTCCAAGGCTCCCCTTTGCCAACTGAATGAAGTGCACACTTTCTAGCGACACTGGTTTTTGAGGCGTCCTGTGATCTGGCACCAACCGCCCTTTCCCACCAGTTCTCTCTCCCCTTTCTGTCTTCTGCCTTGTTGTCAGACCATTGTTCCCTGAACGTGCTCTAAACATTCACAGCCCCGGGCCTTTGCATGGCTATTCTCTCTACCTGGAATGCCCACCATTCCCCCACCCCTTCTAGGTCTCCTGAACCCTTACCAACTCATTAGATGGCTTGAAGCTATTCCTGCAGTGCCCCACCCATGGCCTCTCCCGCTAGGATCCCCCAGTACAGACAACCACATGGCTCCCTCCCTCCCTCCACTCAGATCTTCGCTCAAACGCCACCTCCTCAGAGAGGCTTTCCTGACCCTCCATCTAAATAGCACCCTGCACGCCGCTCCAGCCCCTTGCCCTGCTCTACCTTTTCCACCATTGGTCTTATCTCTCATCATTTACATGCGTGTGTGTATTCATCTGTTTTCTGCCTCCCACTGCAGGGTGAGGGGGCGACTGACTGACTTGCCACCACAGCAGCCTCAGAAGGGAGTCTGGCACCCAGTAGGCCCCCAAGAAATATTTGTTATTGAATAAATGCATGACAAGGTTTGCTGAATCTCACTGAGGCCCCACTGAAATGTGTGAGCATGGAAAGGTAAGACTCCAGTCCCAGTCTGGCTGATCTCACATCTGTGGTTTGTCACCAGACAGGCTTGGGTACGAGTCCAGATGCACCACTAACTCACTAACTGGCTGCAGGACCCTGTGCGAGTCACGTCACTTCACGAGCCTCTTTATCCTCATCTAACAGCCCCAGCTCCTGCATTCAGCGGGGCCTAGCACCCCCCGGCTCTGTAAAGGGTAGCTCTGGTGGGGACGGAGGTCCTGGATTGGAGCTGGGTCTGGTGTCCCCAGCCCTGGCCAGCTTGCCCTTTCAGGAGGAGGAGGAGGAGTTATTACAGCAGCTGAGCCCCAGCCAACTTGTCTCCACGAAACCTGCTGGGATTCTCCTCACAGCTTCTGCCTCTGCAGCCACCAGCCTACATCAGACACAGCTGGAGTGACCGGGGGCAGGGGCAGCAGGGGTCACGGTCTCCTTCTCAGGCTGCTAGGAAAATCTCCAGCCCCATGGTGGCGCGGAGGTGTTTGAAGCCCTTCCTCCCATCCGCACCCGCAGAGCTGCGACTCACCGATTCCCCCTTCTCTCCCACGGGTCCAGTGTAGCCACGCTCCCCTTTGATGCCCTGATAAGCAGCAAAGAGAGAGCAGAATTAGCCCATGGCCGGCCCATCACGGCACTGATGCGAGGGGTGGAGACTGCAGACGGCACCCAGATGGGCACTCAGGGGCAGATGGCATGGAGGAAGACAGCTGGGGCAGGAGAGAGGTGGGCTGCTCAAGAGTGCCACTGTGACCTCCCATCTGTCCCGACAGCCTCCCACTGGCCACTGTGGGAAAGTGGGGACATGACCACCCAGCAGGCTCTTGCATGGAGGTAGTGCCTCCTCACTGTTTCCCCAACTCTTCCAACCTCCCAGAGGAGGCAGATCTCAATTCTTGCTCTGTCTGGAACTCGTGGGGTGCTCTGAGAGGCTGGCCCCCCAAGGCAGAGTGATGGGGCCACACCATGGTACCAAGAAGGCCTGCAATGGGGGAGCTGCATGGACAGCCTGGCAGAAGCACAGCATGAAATGTCTGGAAAAGGGGAGTCTGCTGAGGGATGCCCAGCCTGGTCCTGTCCTGACCACCAGCCCCAGCCTCCAGTACCCCCAGAGCCAGGCTGTCTTACTCACAGGCAGTCCCGGGGGGCCCATGGCACCTGGGTAGCCAGGTTGCCCTGGTGGACCCTGCAAAGAAAGGCAGACATGATGGACCAGGCCCCCAACATTTCCGTTCACCCCTCCCTGGGCAAAAGGTTGGCCAAAGCCGGAACATATGGAGCTGCCATCTGGCAGGCTCCCACCCACCCCAGCACAGCACCACCTTGGGCCATTTCCCCAAAGCCCCAGGTTCCCTTGGTCACTGCCACTATAGACCTGGGCTGAGTGACAAGCCCAGCCCAACCAGGACCCTGGGAGCAGAGCCCAAGAAGGCTCAGAGCAGGATGGTGAGGACCAGGGAGGAGGGAGTGGGAGGGAAATGCTGAAGGCTGCGGGAAGGAGGGAAGACCCCCAGGGACGCTGGTGGAGGATGGGACAGCTGCCCCAGGTTCCCTTGGTCACTGCCACTATAGACCTGGGCTGAGTGACAAGCTCAGCCCAACCAGGACCCTGGGAGCAGAGCCCAAGAAGGCTCAGAGCAGGATGGTGAGGACCAGGGAGGAGGGAGTGGGAGGGGCATGCTGAAGGCTGCGGGAAGGAGGGAAGACCCCCAGGGACGCTGGTGGAGGATGGGACAGCTGTGTGCTCCTGACAGGGAGTCCTGGCACATGGAGACCGGCCTCCTTTTCCCCATGTGTAGGGAATCAGGGCTGAGGGCAAAGAGTTTCAAAAGCTGGAGCCCACCCCCCACCTTCCACTCAGCGGCCACTCCTGTGCCCACCCCCCGCCTCCCTAGGGCTCCTCCTCTGCCTCCAGCCCCTGCTGGCCTCTTCTTACCGGTTCCCCCTTGTCTCCTGTCAAACCCGTGAGGCCTCGCTCTCCTTGAAGGCCCTTGAAGAGAAAAATCATGAGAAACTGCAGGGGACAGCGATCCCCAGCCAGCCCCTGGCTCCTTCCCTGCCCCACAGCCCTCTGTTCCCATTCTCGACACAGGTGGAGGTCACTAGTGGCCCTCCTATTGTCCCCAGCAAGGTGACTATAGGGGGTGTGCTCCAGAAGGGTGACTGTCAGAGGTGTAAACCCCCACATATGGGTGCCTTTCAGGAGCATACTCCCCAAGTCTCTAACTATAGAGATACACTCCCCCAAGGTAGGTGACTGTGAGGGTACCGCCCAGGTGACTGTCATTGGTGTGCCCTCATTGGTGGGTCTGGGGTGCACCTTTAGTAGGGTGACAGATCAGATGTGTGCTCCTTTTGAGGGGCAACTGTCAGGAGAGGTGCCCTCAGAGTGATGCTCCCCAGCAAAGTGAGTCACCAGCTACCCATCACTTACCTGTCCAGCCCCAAACCCCACAAACCAGAAGTCCCGTTCTTTTAGGATGCAGGGGAGAGACATGGGAAGGCTCCCTCCAGGGCAGTCCCTGCCACTTTGTAGGGTGGATGGGGATATCACTTTCAATCAGTGCGAGCACCCCCTGCCTCATTCCTCCTCCCAGCTGTGGCTGCCGTAGATTCACAGCACCATTAAGGGCACTTTTTCTGCCCCCTTCTCCCTCAAGCCCTCAAGAGACGGCGCCCAAACCTTTCCACGACACAAGACAGATGGCTAGACGGACAGATGGCCCCTTCACCCAAGCAAGCAGAAACAGACAAGGCCCGGCCAGAGATGAGGACGTGGGGACAGATGGAGCTGTGACAAGGAGGGGCCCTGCTCCCTGAGCCTCCGTTGCCAGGCCCGGGAGGAGAGGAGCCAGGCCCCACAAACACAAAATCCAACAAACAGGAGGTTAGTTTCCGTGACCCAAGAGGGAGCAACAGTGAGGACGGGGGTGACTTAAACACACCTGTGACGATGACAAAGGCAGAGCAATTAACGACACCTGGCAGAAGGAGCAGCCAAGGCGCCGGGCACGAGGGGCAGGGCCCCGCGACACCCAGAAGCCCACTGGCTGTTATCACGTGCCCAGCCTCAGAGAGACTGGGACTGAAGCCAAAGAAGAGGAAAGGAAGAGGAGGAAGCCAAGAGTTCCCTCTAGGATGATGGGAAAGGTGCAGGCATGGCTGCCTTTAAATCCCTGGGTGCCTCTGGACAGCCCTGCCAAGCAGCAGGTCAGCAAACCTGTGCCAGCCTGCAATGTGAAGCCCTAAAGCTTTGGCAACTCTGCCAGGCTCGGAGCCAGGTACCTGGCAGAGCCCCAAGAACTACTTTCAGCAAATCTTCAGTCAACACCTAAGGTGGTGAGAAGCAGGAGGCAGAGAGAGAAGGAGGAATAAAGCAGCTCCCAGAGGCACCAGCTCTGCGCACGAAGGCACAGAAGCTCAGGAGGCCCGGGGGAGTGACATGGGATGGTGGCAGAAAAGGGAAACAGAAGCGGGTGGAAGGTTGAAGATGAGAGAAAGAAAGCAGGGGAAGAGGGCGAGGGGACAAGGGGAAGGAGTCAGAGACTGGGAGGATGTCCCAGCTGCTGGCAGCTCGGGGAACCTGTGTCGTTAGCTACCGTGCCTGAAGGGGGACAACAAACACAGAGGAGGGAGATGAGGGCACGACAGGAAGGGACACAAGCAAAAGCCACAGAGACCTGGCTGGCAGGGGGAGGGGAGGTCGAGCAGCACTAGGTTCTTACGGGCAATCCGGGGGAGCCAACAGCACCAGGAAAACCTGGGGGGCCCTGGTGGGAGAAACAGGCAGGTCACATCTCACAAGCACAGTAACCCTGGGGCAGCCTGGAGGGCACTGGCTGGGGCTGGGGGGTCATGGGGAGAGGAGGTCGTGGGAGGATTCTCAAGGCAGCTGGAAAAGAGACTCCTGAAAGTCTTGGCCCAAAAGATGAAGGCTCCTCCCCTTGCTCCAGGAAGAACGGCTCCATCGGCAGAGATGCAAAACAGCCCCCAGCACCAAAAAGTCCTTCCCAAGTCTTCTGGAGTCTACCTGAATGCCTCTGCTGGAGTGGAAGCCGTTTCTCTTGTCTTGCCCACCTGCCCTCCATATGCCCCCCACCCACCCAAAGTGGGTGGCTACCTGGTTCTAAGATGGTTCCCACCAGCAAAGAAAGCATTTTCAGTTCTTCCAGTTTTTCTAGTCACTTCTATTTTCCTGCCATATCCACACCACACAGGACTCCAGGGCAGATGCCCCAGTCCAATCTTTGTAGACGCCCTAGAGCAATGGCCTCCAGAGCAATGGAGGGCAGCTCCACCTTAGCCCCCAGCCCCTGCAGGGACTGGTGTCACAGAGGCTGGAGAGACCTGGCCAAATGCCACATGCTTCCCTGGCTGCCAAGACTGTGAGTCAGAAGCTTAGGCCCCCTTGCCCAGGGCGGCCTGGTCCATCATGTCAACCACAGCAGGAATGGGGATGGCGAGGCAGAGACATGCCCCTGAGGGCCTCCCCTAAGCAGGACCAGGGGACTTGGTGGTGGGAGACCCCAGCCCCCACAGATGTCTGATGAGCAGAAGGGGAGGGCAGTGGGAGTTCCCTCTTCCTGCCCTGCCCGGCTTCTTGGGGACAAGGCAGCAGAGTGGTGTCTGAGCATTATGACCCTGTGAGAGCTTCTCAAGCAGGCCAGGGAAACACAGATACTTACAATAGGGCCTGGAGGACCCGGGGAACCTCTCACACCAGGCGGACCCTGCAAAGGAAGCCAAGGGAAATGGATAAAGATGCTCAGGCCCCACAGAGCCCCAGAGTCACCACAGTCTTGCTCCCAGCTTGCCACAGCCACAGCTAACAGAGGGTAGCAGTTGTCAAAGCAGGACCATTTAGCTGATGTCACAATGGCCTTTCATCCCATTCATTCAGTCATCCAACAAACATTTATTGAGCAGCTATTATGTACCAGGCACTGGTCCAGGGGCTGGGAGCACAGCAATACACAAGAGATAAAAATCTGTCTCATAGCACTTGCATTCCAGGGCAGATGAGTGGTAACAAATAAAACAGGGGCTGGCACATAATCGGTGCTCAGCAGATACCTGCGGAATGTTCCTGAATGAAGTAAATATACAATATGTCAGATGGTGACAAGCATGATGCAGGCAAGGGGGACTGGAAGCTCTGGGGCTGCTGTATGGGGCTCAATTTTAAAGAGGGTGTTCAGAGAAGGTCTCACTGAGAAGGGGACATTTGAGCAAAGAGCTGAAGCCTAAGGAATGAGCCCTGGAGGTGTTGCAGGCGGAGGAAGACTGTCTCATGTATCCACGAGCAGGAGGAGCCAGTGTCCCAGGAGAGCAGCGAGACCCTAGCAGTAAGGGGCCTGCGAAGCCTCAGAGGTTCCAGAAAGATCTAAGACAAGTGAGAAGCCCCAGTCATCTTGAGGCCCTGCCTGGGAAAGGGCCGGTCCCTGGCCTCACCTCTTCTCCTCTCTGGCCTGGCAGTCCCGGAGGGCCAGGCAGCCCAGGGCTCCCAGCACAGCCGGGCTCTCCCTCGCTGTTGTCTCCCTGGGGAGGGATGGAGATGTGACAGTGAGTGGCCAGGGCCTCTCCCTGGGGGCACTGCCAGGGGTGGGGGTGCTCAGGTGAGGGCCCACTTACCCGGGCCTCCTCAGCTCTCGGGCGCTCCCGCTCTGAGAAGCACTGTGGAGGACCACGGAGTCTCTGTCAGGTAAGGTGGCCAGGGAGCCCTCCCGCACTGGGGCTGCCCCGAGCCCAGTCCCTACCCGGGCGCAGCTGTCCAGGCCAGGCACACCAGGGATGCCCTGGTCTCCCTTCTCTCCTTTCACCAGGAGCGACGCTGGGTGGGCCGTCTGCCCCTGAGCACAGTCCCCGCAGATGCTCTAATGAGGGAATGGAAAGGGCAGGATGGGCTGAAGGGGGAACCCCACTCAGAACCAGAACTGGACGCCTGCCCGGCTGTCCTCCGCCCACACTCTCTCCCTCCCCAGCCACATCCCTGCAGCAGCTTAGCTCCATCCTCAGGGGACCCAATCCCAACAATTGGCTTTGAGTTTTCTCCAGGAAGAAGCTCTGGTGGGCCAAGCCAAAGCCACTTTCCAGACAGGCGTGTGGGAGGAGGTGGAAGGGCCCACAGAGGGACCATCTGGCCCGGCTGTTCCTGCAACCCGCACCCACTGTGAGGACAAGCCACGAGGATTTAGGCTGAACAGGCTGGCTCCAAACGCCAGCTTCTCTGCCCATGGGAGCAGAGAAAGCAGCTGCGGGAGGAGCCAGGCCCATCAGGAACACCCTCTGCGATGGCACCGCCCCCGTTCCCCAGAACAGACCCGACTGCTCCCAGGCCCCGCAGGTTGCTGGGCCTTCTTCTGGAAGGCCTTCCTCTTACCCAGGACTTTTAGTTTTCTTTGGTTCACAGACCTCTCTGAGAGTTTGATGGAAGCTATGGGTCCTCTCCCCAGAAAAAATAAAACCCACTAGTAAAAACCGGCCTACAATTTCAGAGGACTTGGGGAGCCTGGCACCTGTCTGTAGCCTGGCGTGCTGCCCATGGGCCCTGGGCAGGCGCTCTGCTCTCACCTTCCCTGTTCCTGCAAAGCTCAGCATAATGGTGCTCATGTAAAGGACAGGCATCTAACAGGCCTTCGAGCATTATCACATTCAATGCCAATGGCGCAGGGAGGCAGGTGGTCTTATAAGCATTGTGGAGATGAGCAAGCCAGCACTGGAAAGAGGCGGCATGACTTGTCTAAGGTTAGGGGAGCCTGGACTGGCCCCCGGTCCATCTGAGGCCAGAGCAGTGCCCTTTTCATAGGCCCCGGCTTCCTCTGGGCAGTGGATATGTGTGGGGGTTGGGGCTCCTGACCCCTTCTCCAGGCTACGCTCAGTTCCTGTTTGGAGCCCTCTGTAGATCACTTGATTAAGAAGCCAACAGATGAAATGTTACAGGGAGAAATGTCAAATCCTGGATTTGGAGTCACAGAGTCACTGCCCAGGGACAGGTCTTGGGAGGGCTCAGGCTTGACAAACCTAGGAGAGAACAGCTGGGGGTTCCCCTGCCACAACCCCCCTGTGATGCAACATGTAGCCGCCACTAGGAGGTTAGCCCGACCTCCTTCAACTGCTGTTCAGGGCAAGGGTGGGGCAGACAGTCCCCATACTCTGCCCTGACCAGGGCCCACTGGGGTAGTGGGAGGTTCAGGGCACTGACTAGCCAGTGCCAGAAGAGGGTGGCCAGGATGGGGGGACATAGGTGGAGGCTCTGGAGGCCAAGGCATGGGAGGGGCCCCTGAGGATGCTGAGCTGGAGAAGAGAAAAGTCCAGGAACATGAGGGCAGCCTGAGGAATGATTGTGCTGAGCACGGAGGGCTGTGTGACCCTCGGCTCCCAAGGGAAACCCCTGCCCGGCTTGGGAAGCCAGACCAGGCTACAGCCTCTGGTGGGTCTTAAGGTTGTCTGCAGGCTCTGGCACAGCTGACTCTCCCACCAGGCCCCAAGTCCCCTTTCTCACACCCTGGAATTGCTTTCAAATCCCATCTGCTCCCCGGATCTTTTCTGGATTGACCAGAGGACAGTTGAAGCCTTCTAGGCCCTACCCAGTCTCATCAAAGAACATGACCTTCACAGCCCACTAACTGCTGCTTCAGGCTTGGTTGTGCTGGCAGCAGCCACCACGTGGGTGCCTTCACAGAATTCCTTCAGGCACTCATTCATCCAGTGTTGCCTGGGGGTCTGCTACAAGCCAGGCACCGCTAGACCCTCTTAGACAGATGCTTGGAATGCACGTTCCCCACAAACTGCTGCTCTCTGCGAGGTGCCACGCAGCTGAGCACTTTCTACTGGAATCCTCTTAGAAGACTCCCCGCCAGCTCCTACTCCCTTCCTTGGCCCCCTCTTACCTTAAGGAGGTACTGTTCAATTGGTAAGGATCCCTGCAGGAGACAGAAGTGTGGGCTCAGGCAGGTGAGGGAAAGGAGGCGGAGACTTACGGCATCAGGTAGAGCCTTGGGAAGGGTCATGCCATCAAGGCTTCCCCAGCCTCGGAAGGGTGAGGGAAGAGGGACCCCCACTGCAGCTAAAGGGCTGGTGTGGCCGGCTTGGCACTGGGAAGGGCAGGGAGCAGGTGGATGGCAAGTCCTGCGGTACCCACCAGTTCTGCAGTGAGTCCAGGCTGTCCCGGCAAACCGTTGTTCCCAGGCACTCCCTGCAGCAGAAGAGACACTGAGTGGACTGGCCCCCTGTGGCCCGCTGTCATCCTGCTTCCTTCCCATCAGCCCCCTGCCTCATCCCCTCGTTCTGCCGAGCTGAGAGCCCCAGCTGGCACAAGGCTGACATCTATTCTTAGCTCAAAAGTCTCCAGACCCTTTGTAGGGGAAGTTGAGGAGGCCCAGAGGAGGAACCCCCAAAATAGTCCAACAGGGAGAGCCTTCCCCACATGTCAGGGGAAAGTCAGAAAGTGGGCAGAGGGTCTTCCGCATTGCAACTACTGTTTCTCTCTGTGCTGAGTAGTTGTTCTACAATTCCGCATCTAATCATCAGTTATCTCGGTGAGCTAGGTGTTGCTGTCTCCGTCTTCAAAACAGAACAAAGAACTCAGAGAGGGTAAGTAACTTGCCAAAGGTCACAAGTCGAGCAATGCACAGAACTGAGATTCAGAGTGAGGACCACTGGCTTCCATCCCTTCTCTTAAGCACTATTGCAGCATCGTTCCTTAACACATCCCCAGAACATTCATGCACACAGCGAGGGTGGATGCTTGCCAGTCAGACCCACCTAGGTGCAAATCTTGGCTACCTGTGTAACTCTTGGCAGGTTGCTTGAGGAAAAAAAACTCTGTGCCTCAGTTTCCCTATCAGTAAAACAGGGATAGTTTATGGTGTGGCTTCAAGGAGACGATGGCCGTAAGGAGCTTAGTACAGAGCTTGGCACCCGGAGTACTCACGTTAAACATGTGCCACCAGACTGTTCCCCTGGCAGATTCACAGTGTACATTTGCATGTTAAATACTCCATGGAAGCAGGGAATATGTTCCGTTTTGAATCCCCAGAGCCCGACATGGAGGAGGTGTACATTAAATACGTGTTGAGTGAATGCACCGCTGCTCAACCTGCCCCTCCCCATGCAGGATTTCCTTGGCCCACTCTGAGATCTAGCCTCTCTTCAAGTCCCAAGCTCCTAACAATGGAACACATCACCTGCCCTGAGCAGCCCTCTCCATTTCAGGACAGGCTGTACCAGGCCTGGGTCAGACCTGGAGTCAGCCTCCACCCAGACCCCTCTAGCACTCCCATGTGCCATCAGGGCTTAGAATGTGCTTGGCACAGGAAAAATGCCTTAAATATGTAAAGTGCTATTATGCCCCTAAGTTATTAGTCACCCCCTATTCCACTCTCCATCGCTGGTGTGTTAGTTCAAGCCTGATACTTTGAGATTCCTTCCTGCCCTCCCAGAACTAAATGGTAGAAGTGAAGAGTGCAGCCTGAGTTCAAACCTAGCCTCAATTACCTCCTAGCTATATATCCTCAGGCACATTTCTTAACCTCTGTGCTTCAGTTTCCTCATCTGTGAAATGGATCCAGATGGAATGAACTTATCAAGCATTGGGACTATGCAGCCTTCGCCAAGTAAGTGCTGTACATCTCTGAGCCTGTCTCTGCACCTGAAGAGAGGAGATGTTCAGTCCTCTTGTACCCTGTGTGGCATGGGGCAGTCTCCTGTAAGTGGCAGCCTGGGATTGGTCTCAGGGCCTGGCACCAGATGAGGACTCTGGTGCCTGGGACCAGATTCAGCAGGCACTCTTTTCTGCCTCATTCCCCCAGTGTGTCTTGACAGGGTTCACACTACATCAGCTCTCGTTTGTTAATAAGTCACTTTGAAATGATGCTCACACTTCCCCAAGCAAACTGCAAGTCCCCTGCAGACAGATCCTTGTTTCCTGGCAGTGCAGCAGGAAGCCTGGACACTCGGCAAACGTGTGGCTGCCAAATGCGTGGTGTGGGCTCTAGTTCAATGTTCCCGATGGGGCAAAGAGAATTGGGATTCCAGAAAGACTCCCAACAGCAATGGTGGCTCACCAGAGCAATTCCCAGCCCAGGGTGGCAAGGGAGGCACGCAGGGGTGGGCAGTGGGGAGGAGACAGACTCAAATGCGTGGTGTGGGCTCTAGTTCAATGTTCCCGATGGGGCAAAGAGCATTGGGATTCCAGAAAGACTCCCAACAGCAATGGTGGCTCACCAGAACAATTCCCAGCCCAGGGTGGCAAGGGAGGCACGCAGGGGTGGGCAGTGGGGAGGAGACAGACAAACTATCAAATCGTTAGGGCAGGGAGGAATAGCTTGTAAAAAGCTTCCACGTGATTCTGCTCTGCTTCTACAGGTAAGAACCACTCTCTCAGGAGCTCGGAGCCACACACAAAGAAGCTACTATCTGTGCCTCCTAGAACCTCCAGAAAATGTGGCCTGGTATGCATACCATTGGGGAACTGTCCTGAAAGGCAGTGGAAGGGAGCAAAAAGTGCTGTGCATGGGGAAGCCCCAGTCCAGCGTTGCCAATTCCTAGCCAAGTGACCTTGAACAAGATACTTCACCTCTCAGAGCCTCAGCTTGGCCCAGCTGTGATTTAAAGATTACACCACCTTCCTCTTGGGGTTGATGTAAGGCTCAAATGAATGAGAACATGGATATAAAGTACTAATAGTAGTCGTCACTGTAGTAATGACAGCTAATGCCTCCTAAGCAGTTATTATATGCTGAGCACAATCCTATACACTTCACATGTGCTAGTTTAGTACTCACAGATGTTCTAGGAGGTAGGTGCTATAATTATCCCCACTCGACAGATGAAGGAATTGAAACACAGAGAGGTTAAGTAACTTGCCCAGCATCACACAGCTAGCACATGGCAGAGCCAGGATTTAAATTCAGGATACCTCCCCTGGAATGCACACTCTACTCACAATGGCACACAGACAACAACTCCCAAAGCTCTCCCTCACTCTCACTGGCCTCCTTGCTATTCCCCAAACATGCCAGGCACACTCCCACCTCTGGGCCTTTGCACCTGCTGCTTTTTCTGCCAGAAATGCTCTCTTTCACAGTCTCACTCCTTATTTCCTTTAAATTTTGATTCAAATGTCACCTTTTCAGCACTTTTTGCAAATATCTTTCCTGCCTTCCTCCCATTCCCTATCCCCACTCCCTGCTTTATCTTTCTCCTTAGCACATATCACTTTCTAACATACTGTCTTTTATTTATTTATCTTGCTTCTTGTCTGTCTGTCCTACTAGAATGCAAGCTCCAAGAAGGCAGGGATTTTTATTTGTGTCCACTGCTGTCCCCAGCACCTAAAACAGTGCCTGGAAAAGAGCAGATGTGCAAAAATATGTATTGCATGAATGAATGTTGGATTCTGCTCCAAAACAGTGGAGCTCTGTGCCAGTATAAGGGATTTTTATCTGACCTACATTCCAGGTTCCTGACAGCTGACCAAGGCCTGAGCTTGACACCCATAGGTGGGGTGCTTGGGCTAACACACACCAAGGCATTCTTCGAAAAAGGGTGGGGAGTGCACACAGCCTGGCCTAAGGGATCAGTGGGCCCTCCTGCAGCCCTGGAAAGCAGGAGCACTGAGGAGTGAGAAACGACATGCATATGTGGTTGGAGCCAGGGAGCAGCGTACTCCAGCAGGGTCCAGCGGGATTCATCGTGGGCAGCCACCATGACTGCATGAGCCCTGCCACCCAAACTCCCCACTCTCTTCTCCTTTACCTGCAGCCCAGGCACTCCAGGAGGGCCTGGTGGTCCGGGAACACCTGGGGGACCCTGGGGGAGAGAAGAAAGAATCAGAGCCAGAAGAGAGCTCTGCCCCATTGCTGGGGGCAGCAGCATTAGGGTGGGCAAGCCTCGGGGCGCTGGCGGATGAGAGGAGAGACAGAGGAGACAAGCGACACACACCTGCGGGCCCGGCTGCCAGGAGCTGCCCATCCAAAGTCCCGGAGCACCCTGGGTGGGAGTGGGGGTCGCAAAAGAAGGGGAGAGGTTATAGGCAACGTCCACACCAAGCGCAGAGCTGCGTGGAGAGGCGGCTGGCTGGGGTGTGAAGCCCTGCAGGGCTCTGCACATTGGGCATCAGGCGAGGCTGGAAGCCGGGCCTTCCCCAGGCTGGGGAGAAGGTTCTCAGCACCACTTACCGGCATGCCAGAGAAGATGGGGTCTCCTCGAGAGGGGCAGGAGCACTCCCCTGGCTCTCCCTGAAAAAGATAAGAGCCTTGCTTAGAGGTGGCCAAGGATGGAGGGCTCTCAGCAAACCAACATCTGGGAGGCAGCGTGGGCGCTCAAGATGGAGAGGCCAGGGTTTAAGTCCATGATCTGCCTCTTATGATTGTGCTCTTGGACAACCTGTTCCACCTCACTGAACCTCGGCCTCCTCATCTGTAAAATGGGGATGATAACTCCAAACACAGACTGCCATGAGGGTGGGATGGATTCATGTACGTAGAGTTCCTGCCACATGGTGAGTATACAGCAAATGACGGTCCTGCTGTTATCATCCATTTTTAGTTAGAGCCCTGCATGCTGCTGCACCATGTTCCTGCCTTAAGTACAATCAAGCTCAACTGCTGTGACCGCAGCCCCGCTCCTCTGGGCCCAACCTGGCTTCCATGCCCTTCTCTCCTGTCCCTCTCACCACTCATCCTTCCCAACTCACTTCCTGCCCCATCCTTGGACTCAGCCCCCACTTGAACACCCAGCTGCCCCCCATGGGGGTCTTGGAGTTCTCTGGTTTCCTGTGATCCTAGTTGAGCTCTGGGCCAGCAACCAGGTGAAATGGGGAGTATCAGGGCCCCAGAAATCAGTGGATAGCAAGTAGAGGGGGATGCCTCCTCAGCTCCTGTCCTTCAGTCCAGGAATAGCTACCATGTGCATAGGTTTCCCTGGGTGGTGGGGCTGTAGAGCTGCTAATTCCCCCACAGTATTGGTCACGGGTCCTTGGGATTTACCTTCTCTCCTCGAGATCCCTTTTCACCCTACAGAGAAGAAACAGGGAGATGAGTAGACAGGGGTGCAGGGCAGGGACGGCCATGGCTTCCTGTTGTCTCGAGGCACTGTACTCACTGGCATCCCTGTGGCTCCTGGAAGTCCCGTCTGTCCTTGCTGCCCATCAAGACCCTGGAGGGAGAGAGCCCAGAGTCAGTGGGTGAGGCTTGTCAGCAGAGATGGGATGGGCAAGGCCTGGTGCAGAGAAGGGTGATGGGACAAAAGGATGCAGCACCAGGCTCCCCTGGAGCCCGAGTCCTGGAGCCCATGTTCTAGAGGGGGGGACTGAGGCACAAGAGGCAAGGAGAGGAGGAAGGAAGAAGATTGGCATTTTCTGAGCACTTTCTGTCAGCAGAGATGGGATGGGCAAGGCCTGGTGCAGAGAAGGGTGGGTGATGGGACAAAAGGATGCAGCACCAGGCTCCCCTGGAGCCCGAGTCCTGGAGCCCATGTTCTAGAGGGGGGTACTGAGGCACAAGAGGCAAGGAGAGGAGGAAGGAAGAAGATTGGCATTTTCTGAGCACTTTCTGGTGCCAGACACTGGGCCAATTCCTGCCAGAGAACACTGAATGGAGCCCTGCTCCCAGCCCTGCAGGACGGTATTGTTCTGTTCTTCAGGAGAGGAAACTGAGGCTTGAAGACATTGCCTGACAGACCTAACAGAACAACTGCACTCAGGTCTGTCTGGCCCGAAGTCCCTGCTCTCTCCTGTCTCCCTTTAGTGCGTATACACAATTTCTCTGTCACAAAAGTTGCCTCAGTTGACTTAACTTGGAGAAAGGAATTTAGGCCCTGCTTCATCGACAAGGAACTGGGCACTCTGAGAAACTGTCACTTGCCTAAGGACACACAACTAGGGAGTGTGGGGCTGGGCCTGGGAAGCCCCCTCGATGGGACTCAGCTTGAGGAGAGGTCTGGAATCTGCTCAGGCCAGGAGAGGCCAGTCTTGCCACACAGAGGCATCTGCATGGGTGCCTTCCTGCGGGACCTTCCACTTTCACACATGGGACTCAAAGCTCCCCAAGGACTGGGTCCACGTCTCTGCCTATACCCTGGGGCTCTGTGGGACAGGCAGAAACCCCAACTGTCCCACTCTGCTGGGCATTACAGACTGGCTGCGTGGGCTTGGGCAAGTCCCTGCCCCCTGGACTTTGATGCACCCTGAGGAATCCATCAGTTATTGCCAAGCAGGAACTAGAATTCCTCTAGGGATCTACAAAGATAAGAAAGGATATAGTTTGCTGGCCTATTTTTAACATTACCAAAAATGCAAGACAAATTATACATTTGCCCATGACCCAGCATGGCACAGCTGGCTGAAAGGTAGCATTTCTTTGATTTAGGCTAAAATTATATCATCTTGTAAAATTCTAGTGGGTTCACATGGAGTAGAAGCTGACTATTATAAAGGTCTTTTATGACTAAAAATGAGAAAATGCACTTATGATTACTTAATCTATGCAATTTGTTCAATAGACACATATTTTAAAACATGGAAATCATTGGGGAATAGCAACAAAGGGGAGGTCTTTGAGGGTAACAAGATTGGAAGTAGTTGCTGGTCTAGATCTGTGCTGAACAATACAGTAGCCAATAGCACATGCAGCTATTTAAATTTAAATTAATTAAATGAAATTTAGAATTGGGTTCCTCAGTCACACTAGCCATGTTTCAGGCGCTCAGCAGCCACGTGTGTTTACTGTCTTGGGCAGTGCAGAATAGAGCATTTCCACCATTACAGATGGTTCTATTGGGCGGCACTGGTTTAGATGATGCCTAGTGACTCCAAGGTTCCAAGTAGGGGACAGGCAGACCCGGGTTCGAGTTTTTGGCTCTGCCTCTTTGCTCTCTGACCTTCGATTTTGAAACAGGGACAATAACAACAGTTCCCTTACAGGGCTGTTGGGAGGATTAAGTGAACGATGGTGTGTTTAGAACTTAGCTCAGGGCTTCTGCACTGTCACAGCTCAAAAAATGGTGTGATCATTATTGTTATTCTTCAGGTACTGCCCCCAAACAGTGCAGTCTTCCTTCTCTGAGGCTGAGCCGGGCTGAGGCCTCTCTCCTCCCATCCCCACTGCTGGGATGGGCAGGGGCAGTCCCATGCCCTCTTCCCAGCAGCAATGTCCTTGGTCCCACCAACATCTCCAGCATGGAGTGCAAAGAGGACTATTACCGGAGGCCCAGAGACACTGGCACCAGGAGGTCCCACAGGTCCAGTGGCTCCTTTCACCCCTGGAGATCCCTGTGGGAGAGAGGGCAAAAGGTTCCATGGGCAGATTTGAAGCTGACTATAATCCAGCAGGCGAGACACATCAGAGCAGGTCTTGGAGAGCCCTCTGATAGGCATCACTCAGCCCTCATGCCCCTTCTGCCAGAGCCCTCTGAAGCACTGCAGGCCCAATGCCCATGGAGGCAGAGGCTCACCTGGGCACCTTTCTCTCCAGAGAGGCCAGGTGGTCCCCGAGGTCCTGGAAGTCCCTGCAGATGGGAGCACAATTATTGATCCTTTGTCTTAGAGTTGCCCTTTCCCCTACCACCTCCTCCAGGCCCATGGCAGACATACCTGAATGCCAGGCAAACCCTGGACTCCAGGCTCCCCCTGCAAGTCATAAAGGGTAGACTGGGGCACAGCAGCCCAAGCTAACCTGCCCCACTGGCAGACCTCGTCTAGGGTGGGGCGTCTGCCAGCTCAAACTCAGGAGAGCTCCCCAAGGAGACCCTAGGGTCAGAGAGGTGGGAGCTGAAGCCAAGTCCCCGACAGAAGCAACAGCAGGCCAGAAGGGCTGCTGCCTGACCTGGCCCCAGAGCTGTGCCCTCAAGCAGAGCTCTACAGTTTGGGGGCAGGTGGGAGTAGGCAGTTGGCTGAAGAAAGGGTTGAGGTGGGCAGGCAAAGGTAAAAGGCCAAAGACTCACCTGGGGCCCCTCGACTCCCATTCCTGGAGGGCCTGGCTCTCCCTGAAGAGGCAACAGTTTGGGGGCAGGTGGGAGTAGGCAGTTGGCTGAAGAAAGGGTTGAGGTGGGCAGGCAAAGGTAAAAGGCCGAAGACTCACCTGGGGCCCCTCGACTCCCATTCCTGGAGGGCCTGGCTCTCCCTGAAGAGGCAGAAGGGCAACCTCTGGCTGAAGATTCCCCAGTCACCCTTCAACCTTCTCTCCAGCCCCTTCTCCTTAACCTCCTCTGCCTCCACTTTCTCCCTGTGCCATGTCTCCAATTCCCACCCCAGGCTCACAGCCCTCTATACTCACACATACCTGTAGACCCTTCAGTCCTGGGGGCCCTTGAACTCCCGGTAGACCAGGCTTGCCCTAAAAGGCGCAATGGGGCCCATGGAGTTCTCACAGGAGAAAGGGGGCAGGAGGAAGAAAAGGCAAAGTCCAGGCAGGGGAGAACCAGAGGACAGGCAGTCTGAACTCACAGGTTTACCAGGCCGGCCCACGCCCTCTGGGCCCTGATCTCCTTTGGGGCCCGGCTTCCCAGGCAGTCCCACCACGTCGGTCATCGCCCCCTGCAGGTTGGGGCAGGCAGTGCAGCCATCTCCCTGGTCAGAGATGGACACAATCAGGAGCCGGTGAGCCAGGGCCGGTAGCCAGGCCAGGAGGAGGCATCCCCTGGGGGTCCTCATTAGCTCCCCATGCAATTTCTTTTTGCTCATGCAACAAACTGCCCCTGCCTGACTGACCTTTTCTCCCTTTGGCCCCACAGGGCCACGAACCCCAGGTTCTCCCGACAGTCCTGGTTGCCCTGTGGTGCCAGGCATTCCAGGGTCTCCAGGATTCCCAGCGTCACCCTGTAAGGAACAGGGATCAAGGTGGGCAGAGTAGCTCAGCGAGGGGCAGGTTGCCCCCTTGGAACCCGCATGGCTGGCTTCTCAGGGGCTGAAGGCTGGGGACTGGGAAAGAAGTAGAGAGTGGGCACAGGCCAATCAGGAAAAGGAGTGGGGGGGCCTCTGAGAGGAGCGGACGCCCACCCATATGCCCACCAAGTTCTCTCACCTTCTGCCCCTTCAGTCCACGCTCTCCAGCCTTGCCCTGAGGAGAAAGCATTTCTAGCACCCATTGGCTCATACCAGACACGCCTAGGTCCCAACCTGCATGGCTGGCTTCTCAGGGGCTGAAGGCTGGGGACTGGGAAAGAAGTAGAGAGTGGGCACAGTCCAATCAGGAAAAGGAGTGGGGGGGGCCTCTGAGAGGAGCGGATGCCCACCCATATGCCCACCAAGGTTCTCTCACCTTCTGCCCCTTCAGTCCACGCTCTCCAGCCTTTCCCTGAGGAGAAAGCATTTCTAGCACCCATTGGCTCATACCAGACACGCCTAGGTCCCAACCAGCACAGTGTCAGACCCAGGGTTCAGCAGGAAATACAAGTCTCTGCTCTCAGGCTAGTGAGGCCATCTTGCATAGGTTATGAGAAGAGATTTGAGCCAAACTCCCCACCTGGGTGACCTAGACAAGTTCCCTCATCTGTCCCCATGCCTCAGCTTCCTCACCTGCCAAATGGGGATGATAAAAAAGAGAAGAGATTTGAGCCAAACTCCCCACCTGGGTGACCTAGGCAAGTTCCCTCATCTGTCCCCATGCCTCAGCTTCCTCACCTGCCAAATGGGGATGATAAAAATAGTATAGGCTTCTGCCCCGTAGGGCTCTTGTGAGATCAGACAAGCTAATCCATGCATGGCACATACTGTCCACGATGTTAGTGTTTGCTGCCACTTTCAAAGCAGTAACAATAGCAATAACCACAGCAGTAACTATCACTTCCCTAGTGCCTATCGTGCACTGCTAAGTGCTTCACACATGGCGTGACTCAACTTTACAGCAACACAATGCATAGGAAACAGAGGAACAGAGAATAAAAGTAACTTGCTGAAGTCAAAGATCTAGTAAAAGGCAGAGTTGTGATTGGAACCCAGGTCCATCTGGTCCAGGGTTGGTTCTCTTTCTGCCCACTGTGCCCTATTGTGCCCCAGGATAAAGGACAGAGGCCTGTCAGGGCAGCTCCCACTGGAGACAAAGGCACAGAGCCCACCACATACTCCCACCTACCCCCCACTGCCCAGGGAGTCAAGACACCCAGGAAGGATCCCTCTTCTCTCTTGATCTCTGCCTACCTCCCACCTCCAGAGGCCCTGGAACTCACCTGTTTTCCTGGCAGACCAAAGCCTGGAAGCCCAGGCTCCCCCTTCTCTCCGGGCAGGCCAGGCAAGGCCACCACATGGCCATCCCCATCCTGAAGCTTGGACAAAGCTGGGCATGGCTCACAAGGCTCCCCCTGCCAAGCAAGGACACTGCATGAGGGGTTCCCAGGCCCTGGTGCACAGGACCAGGTTTGGAATCTGGGGCTGGGAATGTAGCCAGATCTGACAGTACCTGTGCTGGGTGAGGGGTATCTCAGGAGAGGTTGTGGCAGAACAGGGAAGAAACAAAGAGGGGACCAACTCATCAGGGGTCTCAACGCCATGCTAAGAAGTCAGACTGTCCTACAGGCAGTGAGGAAGCCTGGAGGGTTTGCAGCAGGGCAAGATGAGAGTCTGCCCGGGAAGTTTGCCCTGGCTGCTGCGTGGACAACATCCCCAGACTCACCTTCGCCCCTTTGATGCCTGCTGGTCCCACTGGCCCTGGTGGTCCCTACATGATAAGAAGCCATGTGTGATACCAGCATTCTGCCAGAGCCATGCCAAGGCACAGCCCAACCCTATCAGCTCCCATTGATGGGCAGCACCTCCCACCCTGCCCTCCCCCCAGCTGTTGCCATCCAAAACATACTTACTGGACTGCCAGCTGGTCCTGCCTCCCCAAAATTACCCTGAGAGCAAAGCATAAAACACATGGTCAAAGAGAGCACAGGGTATAGATGCCAGAGCAATCCTAAAACCAAACCTACAAAGGCAGCTCCTTGGAACTAGACTTTCCTCTCATTTCCTGGCTAGGGAAACTGAGGCCCAGAGAGGGAAAGAGGTTTCCCCAAGGTTTCCAAGGGAATCAGTGGCTAACCAGGGGCTAGAAGCCATGTTTCTGCCCCCAAACCACTGCATGGAATCCCAGCCCAAGTATCAGTCCTCACCCAGCACACAAAGATCATCAATTCATTTATCCAACAGCTATTCATTGGATGCCTTTACACACTGGGCACTGGGCTACGTGCCATGCCTGGTGGAGCTCACACACTTAGAACTTTTTAAATAATGATTGTAAATAGTGATGAGTGCTTTGGCAGAAATAAACAAGGTGATGAGACAGAGTGAGTGGGGGAGGCCATTTAAACAAGGTGGTCAGAGAAGTGTTAACCACTATTATTATCAGAAAGATGAGAATAAGGTCAACCAATGAAAGAATCGGGGGAGGGTAGAGAGGCAAAACATTCTAGATGTTTCTAGTGAGAACCACAAGTGTAAAATCTCAGGGGTGAGAACAGCCTGAACATGTTCCAGAATGGAAGGTGGGCCAGTATGGCTAAAGTGCAGTAAACACGGGAGAGAAAGGAGACCCAGACGAATTGGGAAAGGCAGGCAGGGCTGGGTTGCCCAGGATCCTATGAGGCACAGCAGGACTGTGGTACAAAGGCAAGTCACAGAAGGTTTTTAAAGCAAGAAATCACATAATCTGCATTCTTTTTACAAAGCCACATTAGCTACTGCATGAAAAATGGACTGCTGAAGAGCTGCGGAGGCTGCAGGCCAGCCAGAAGAGGTCACCGCCACCCAGATGAAAGATCAGGGGGACCCAGATAATGATGGCAGCTCTGGAGGTGAGAGAAGCAGAGGGGCTGCGGGAGATGTTACTGGCAGACCTCTCAGGACTTGCGGATGGGCTGGGGGGAGGGGGTGACACAGGGAAGGGAGGAACTGAGGATGATGCCGGGTGCAGGGTTTGAGGATCTGGGAATGTGCCATTTGCCAAGATGGAGAAGACTGGAAGAAGCGGGTGTGGGGTGGGGGTGTAAAGGCTGCCCTTGAGAAGTGACAAGCATGGTTTGCCTGGCTGAGTCTGGACACTCCTCAGCGCCCCTCTCACCTGAGCACTCACACCCACGGAACCCCTCATGTGAGTAACGCTGCATTAGAAGTTCAATGCTGTCTTTGTCTCCAATGCAATCATAAATAGAACTGTTAACACAGGCACTGGAATTGAGGGACCCAGCTGCGTGGTGAAGATGACAGAGTCTGGAGCCAGACTTCCTGGGCTCAAATCCCAGTTCTGCAGCCAAACACCAGAGGGACTTTGGCCAATTTACTTGGCCTTTCTGTGCCTCTGTTTCCTCATCCACAAAATGGGAATAATGGAGTACCTACCCCATAAAGTTTGGGGAGGATAAAACAAGGTAATACACATACAAGACTTCGAATAGTGCCTGGCATATAACAAGAGGTAAAGAAGTGTTAAATACATATTGTTTTACTGTAAGGTCATCTTGAATGTGTTTAAACGCTTTAGATTATCATTAAATTAAAAATACAACACTAAGGAATTCTCTTGGATGACGTGAGGGCTTTCAGAAATAAATTCTTTGACTCCAGTCTTTAGAAAGTGCTGCTCAATCTTTTTCTTAAACGCTTTAGATTATCATTAAATTAAAAATACAACACTAAGGAATTCTCTTGGATGACATGAGGGCTTTCAGAAATAAATTCTTTGACTCCAGTCTTTAGAAAGTGCTGCTCAATCTTTTTCACTGTGAATTTACAGGTTGATCTCTTGTCTATACTGCCCCTATTCTCCACCCAGGGCCACCCCTCCCCTGACTGCCTGCCAAGAAGCCCAGGTGTCACTGACATCTAACTCAGGTCTCACCTTCTCTCCTTTCAGCCCTGTTGGCCCCGGAGCCCCAGTCTTCCCCTGAAAAACAACCAAGATAGAGTCACAGCATCTCCCTATTCCCACCCCTCCAAGACTCCCTTGGTCCGAGTGTCCAACCAGAAAGAGAAAGGCAAGATTGGAATTATGAGCCCCACATCCCTGCAGGTAGCGGGACAGTTAATTCTGTAATAATCTGGGCACTCAAAGAGGCCAAGAGGAAGCGCCAGGGCAAGTAGCCAGGGGCAGCACAAGGGTGGAGAGAGGGGCCAGGATGCAGGCCTGGGACACCTGCCTCACGGCCTCCCTCCTGGTCCCTGCCCTGAGACTTGGGACCGGAAGAGCCAGGGTGGCAAGGATGAGCTGGACTGGGCTGGGAGAAAGCCGTCACTCACCGGCAGGCCAGGCAGACCGAAGCCAGGGAAGCTCACGTCTCCTTTGGCCCCTGCAGAGGGTCTAAGATGCTGAACCCCTACAGGTGAGCCACAGGACAAGCAGGGCTCCCCCTGGGAAAGGAAAACAGGGATCAGAAAGGCTCCCAAGTTGGCAGAGGAGGGCAGCCAGGGGCCAGGATTCCCTCACCTTCTCTCCCTTGATGCCTTGGATGCCAGGATCCCCCTGCAGGGAAACAAGGTTTGGGGGCTGAGATTGGGTGTGTTGGGACACCCCAAACTCCCTGGCCATATATGAGGACAGCAATGTCACATACCACAAACCTTTCAAACACCCGGGGGTCCCCTGGGGTTCGAGGCCAGCACCCCAGAGGCAGGGCTTATCAACCCATGTAACAAATGGGAGAGATGAGGCCAGGCTAGACTATCCCACTGGAAAGTTCCAGTACATACCCGATTTCCTTTTTGTCCAATAGTTCCCAGGTGCTCCTGAAAGAGAGGATCTGTGAGGGACTGGGGGTGGGGAGGTGGGGGGAGTCCAGGCCAGACCCTCACCTAGCCCTGCCCACTCCTTTCCTCCAACCCCAACCAATACCCAATCCCAGAGCACAGCCTCACTCACAGTAAGGCTTGGCTCTACCCCAGCTTGCCCAAAAGGCATCTTAGAGTCTCCTGGAGAGCCCTGGAAGGTTGCCATGAAGACCTAGGGTGGCACTCTAGCCCAGCCCTAAGCTCTATGGTTCTGACCTCTTCCTGCCCGTGCTAAGAACCTAGACCCTCTGCCCATAATCTCTCTGTGGCCATGAGAAGTACCCATTCCCTCTGTCCAATTCCTCTCTATGATCATGCCTCCAGCCTTTGTACTTTTTGTGTGTGGTCCCTCAATGGCCACTCTGGGCACTCACCCTGGCTGGTGCAGGATCACCTGGTTCCCCCTTGGGCCCTGGCTTTCCAGGGAGCCCCACAAAGTTCTGGAACCCTTCAGGCAGCGTTGGACACACTTCACAGGGGTCACCCTAGCAGAAGGGAGAGACCATGAGTAGATAGGATGGGGCTGAGACCAGGGGGAAGGCAAAGAACCCCATGACCCCACCAGTGTTAGGCACTGTGCAGTCCAGCGCCCTGCCTGCAACATCAAAGTGGACAGCAGGAACATTGCAGGGCTTCCTGTTTAGCTGACTCATTCATTCAATGCATGATCCTGGGACATCACAAAACTATATCCTCTCAGCAAGCCATAGACATGATTGTGTTCCATTGACAGATGTGGAAACAGGCTAAGAAAGAAGCCCACTGACTTGCCACATTCACAAACACGTTTGTGGAAGAGGCAGAATTTGAACCTAGCTAACCCAAAGCCAGGCTGACTAATCACACACACATACCAGAGGAATAAAGAAGGGGTGGGGGTCCCCGTGGAAGGTCCAGCACTCCTGGGCCCAGGGCCCCTGATGCCCAGTGACACCTGCAGAGAGGGGTTCCCATTCCCACCCTGACCTGGGGCAACTAGGCCTCGGACTTACCTTGTCTCCCTTCACCCCTGGCATCCCCGGCTTCCCCTGTGGGAGGAGAAGCAGTGGGCATAAGTGCCAGGGCAGGGAGACTGGTGTGCCAAGAGAGGGCCCAAGGACTAGCTCCCTCCCTCTGGAGGGCTTGGAAGAACAGGAATGGGCATGGTGGGCAGCAACCCCCTCCCCCACTGGATCGGGGTCACTCACAGGTTTCCCACCAGGGCCTTCCTTTCCTGGCACCCCAGAGCTGCCCTGTGGTCAGAAGAAAGGTTAAGGTGAGAGGCTCCTTGCCCACATGACCTCAGCTCATTCACCCCTTCCCTGCCCAGTCCCCTATCTGGATGGCAGGACAATCTCTGCCATATCTTCCACCTCCATTTGGTCCATTCAGTCAGTAAACCCTCCCTTCCTGTTGCCTGTCCTTCTCCATGTCTAACCCAAGCCCTTCTGGGTTGCAAAGGCAGAAAACGAGGCCTCTGTGCACGCATTCCCTGGTGCAGCAGGTTAGGAGGTGATCCGGGTGACCCCAGAGAAACCACAGCAGACAGACAGACAGACATTTCCAAGGCTTTCTGCTCATCAAGGCACAGGGCCCTAAAACGAGCTTGGGCCCTCCAGTTAAGGCCACTATTGTGGTCATCACTAGACTTAGTCCTGCTCATACCTGGAATGCAGGCCAAGGCTCTCACCTTAGCAAGCACTGATTTGGGGACACACCCCCATCAAGATGGCCTGGCTGAGCCAAGCCTCCTCAGCCTGACCTCTTCTCTGGGACATGCCTGCTGCAGCGATCCCATCCTCCTCTTTCCTTTTGCCAAGAAGCGATCTCCCCCATGTGCCTGCTCTGCTGGGTATTTGAACAAGGCAGGATGACTGGGAGGGATGGGGGCAGGTACTGCCAACTCTGTGCCCATGAATACCATCCTCTCGGAAGACTTTGGACACCAGCTCCTCATGGCTATACGGCCCGCAGACCTCCCTGGCACCCACCCGCCAAATCCAAGCCTGTTACCTTCTGGCCTGCTGAGCCTGGGAGTCCTGAGGGTCCCTGAGATGAGGAGAAGACACAAAAGAAGGGGTGAGGAAAGGAGGGTGAGGCTGGGCCAGGACCCACGCCCCTGCCCCAACCATGGTCCCACACTCACCAAGGCTCCTGACTCCCCCTTCTCTCCCTTCAGGCCTTCTGCACACTGAACAGGGAGACAAGGTGTTGAGAGGGGTCCAGGGTCAGCCAACGGGCTGTGGCGGGTAAAGCCCCTTCCTAGAAACTGGCCCCGCATTGGCCCTGAATCAGGCCTCAGCTCTGGATCTTACCTGAAGTGGAGCATCCTGGGATATTCGAATGCAATCATTGCCCTGGGGGTAGGGAACAGGGGATCAGGGGTGGGGCCTCACTGGGGAGTCATTCTAGACCTGTCATGGGGAGCATTGGGCCAGGAATCCCACAGTCCCAGGTGTCCCTAGAAAATAAAGGCTTCTACACACTAACCCCTAGAAAGACCCTGGCCCTCTCCCCCCACTTGGGCCAGGCTGCAGGCTTCCTGCTGAGATGATGGGATGATGGCTCACGCCCCCCCTCTCTCCCCACAGGGCACAGCTGGGAGGGGTCCCTCACAAGGCGTGGCTGGAGCGCTTACCCGTGCTCCCTTCTCTCCCTTGGGTCCTGATGGGCCAGGCATGCCCCTCTCACCCAAAGCCAGGGTCTCCCTGGCACAGACATAAGGAGGGCA